AGTTATTAATAATGATTTACTGTAATTATTGGATATGTGTCAGATAAAAAAAAGATGTAAAATGTTTTATGAACAATTAAGAATCATAAAAATGTTAATATAGGTTGGAGATCGAATGCGGTGAAAGAGATAGAGGAGAACGGTACAAATTTTACACTAATTACAGTAATAAAAGTAGATTTACGTTTATAACCTTAACCCACTTCAGGGTGACTGTAGGATGTCATGTCTGTAATTAATGTGTTAAATAATATCTCAAATTATATTTGTATGTATATCACCTGGAGAAACAAAAGAAAATACAAAATACTGCAGATGCTGGAAATCTGAAAACAAAAACAGAAATCGCTGGAAACACTCAGCGGGTCAGGCAGCATCTATGGAGAAAGGAAAGTGAGTCAACGTTTAACAAAAGACTGTTTTAAGCAACAAACTGTTTTCATTCCTTATCAGTCATTTTCTCATGGAAAAATGGTCTGCAGCTGGAGAGAACTGTGTTGCATTTGGTTTTTACAAAGGAACCATCTTGAAAAAGACGAAAGGTCACCTAATCAACGTTATAAACGGAGATCAATTCGAAAGAGGAAGAAGAAATTGGAACCTGGAGCCACAAACCATATTCCAGCTTCCAAAGATGGAAGTTCAAGACTATGAGTTAAACAGCTCTAAACGTACAATAATACCTGGATACTTTTGGGTGGTATCGAACTGGGAACCGCACAACATTACTTGAAATTTTTTTTGAGGATTTACATTGCTTCCCTATCTCTCCCACAGTATTTGGTTGGTCAACTCAAATCATTGTGAACTCTAGTATACGTGGATACATAAGCAGAATTAGATGTATTTTCTAAATTATTTATAACCATTATTAATCTGAATTAATAAATCTTGATTAATTGTTCAACATTTGTGTCAGTCCTTACTTCACTGCAGGGTCATGAAAATAAATTAACTCTTACACCAAGGCAACCTGTTTTTCAATCTTACTTTATATATAGCAAATTTTACCCTCTTGAGAGCAATTGTTTGGAATGGGAATGTACACAATGCTTTACAAGCCCAGCTCAGAGCTGACTTTCCATAAAAATGTCACCAAACAAAAATAATTTACTTCTCCACCGCTTCCTTTCCCTCTCAATTGTTGATGGGGGTACTTAAAGAATAGTCAAACACGGGTATTAGAGGGGTACAGGGAAAGAGAAGGAGATTGAGATTAGGATGGATGGCCCTCGGAAGAGCAAACATGACTGGAAAAAATGGGCCGAATGGCAATGCTGTTCCTATGGATATAAATGTTGGGATGTGCTGTTAAACTGCCTCAGGAAATATGACTGTGCATTTTGCAATTAAACTCTTTGTCATCATAAACTTGGTTAACCGGGATACTGAGCCATTGAAGGTGCACTGCTAAACATTTTTGATTGGGTTTAAAAATATTTTTGTGAGTTCAACTGGTTCAGGACCTGACAGTTTTCTCAGAAAGCTCAAGTCCGTTCTGTAGCCTCGGCAGTACTTAATGAGATCCCTAATATCTAGTGTTAGAGCTCCCCCTGTCAGGTAGGAACTATATTACAACAACAACTTGCATTTATGTAGAGCACTTCATGCGGAGTAGTGTCCCAGAGCACTTGAGAGTGGTGGAATCTGACTCCGAGCCAGGGGGAGAAGGAGTGGGGGAGGTGACCGTAAGCACAATCTAAAAGGAAGGTCTTTAGGCGGGATTTGAAACTGGGGAGGGAGGGGGCAAGGCAGAGGGATTGAGGAAGAGAGTTCGAGTTTCGGGGTGTAGTGGCTGAAGGCACGGCCAACGATGGTGGAACTGAGGGCACGAGGGACAAACAGGAGGCCAGAGCCAGCCGTGCAGAGGCAGCGGGTGGTGGAGTGACTCGAAAGCCTATCGGATAGGTAGGGAGGTGCAAGGGCATGACAGGACAGCATCAAGAGTCCAATTGCAGGTTTCCTTGTAACACAAATTGCATTTTCAGAGAGTCTCATCAAGATATCTCTACACACTTCACAGGTGATTACTGACAATTGTAATTACTAGTTTTAGCCAGCAAGATCCAGTGAGAGAAACTTCCTTCTCTTTTCAAATAGGGTCGTGAAATATTCAATGTCTGCCTGGACATGCAGATAGTATCTTGGTTTAACATCTCAACTTAAAAATAGAACCTTTTAGAATGCCACTTGGCCCGTTCTGCACTTGACTCAAAAACCTAAACTATGAACTGAAGTCCAAACACAAGTAGAACCCACAAACTTCTGACCTAGAGATTAGAGCGTTATTTAATGAGCCAATCTAACACTAATTTCTCAGTGGCTAACTAGTGTAATTTAACCTCTTTTCAACAAAAACATTAAGTTTAGGAATTGCTAACCTTAAAGATTAAGCAGTTCATTCTGTGATAACTCCTCTGACAAGAGCAGGGTAAATACCTGGTTAAACAGGGTGGAGCTTACTGGAATGGGTAATAAGACTGAGATGATAAATATTTTACTGGACCCAATGACTTTTTTTTCCTGTAAAGTGGGAGCCATCAAATCTGCAGTAGGGGCAGAAGGCAGGTCAAGGTTGGTTAGAGATTCAAAATAAATGAACACTCTGGAGTGTACCCTCTATTTTGAAAATCAGAGAGTAATTTTGTAGATTTATGGGGTAATAATTGCCAAATTACAACCGTTTGTGGGACATTGCTGTGCGCAATTGGCTGCCGCGTTTCGCCCACAAATATAGTCAATTCACTTTACAGTATGTTCTGTGAAGCGCTTTGCGACGTCTAGAAGACGTTGTGGGAATGTAAAAGGACTAAAACACGTAAAGTACAGAGTGTCTCGACAACGATAAGATTAGAGTTGTTTTTGAGCAATAGCTGTAGATAATTAGAGCAGAACCAGTGTCCTTGTACTGTCTGCAAATGTATAATGGAGCTTGTGATGATTGAATGCTTGTCAATCAACAGCAAGAATTGTTTGAGACACGAGTTAAGCATGAGGTGATTGCAAATAATCATGTATATAAACTAATGGGACTACCCCATTGGTAGAGGGAGAGTACCGACTCTTCTGAGAGACGTGCTACTGTATTACCTCTCGCTTTCCCTCTCCTTGCTGCAAGTATTTGAATAAACTATATTTCTGAGTTAACGGTTTCTGAGTGTTCGTTTAATCCTAGCTATGGCGACTACATCCTGGGGTCGACAACGTGAAAAGCGTTATATCAAAATGCAAGGATTATTATTATTAGTATTATTATTATTTTCACAAGTGGAGCCATAACTATTCCATAAACAGAAGTGCGTGCCATCAAGCCTATAGGAACTCCACTACAACTTACCTGATCTACCACCCGTAGATGGTAGAGCTCCTAGGGGACATTCACAACACATCTGGTTGTTAGCAGGATTCAATATTTGTGAATTCCATTTGAGTTATACTCTTTTCTATGGTGGGATAGAGTTTTCTTTCATTCTGAACACACACCAGGATGGAATATTTTATAGTATGATGACAGAAGTTTAGGAAATGAACACCAATATCAGCCTCCACGTGGAAGCTAAACATTTATGCTTTAGTAGCACCCACTAGCCAACAGGAAAGTAAAATGTTGATCCGTATCAGTTCACATTGTATCACACGCGTAAATCTAGCTCAGCTGGTTAGCATCTCGTCTGAATCAGAAGGTGGTGCGTTCAAGCCCTACGTTGGAACTTGGAACTCATAGGCTATGCTGACACTTCATTGCTGTGCTGAAGTGTGCTGCATTGTTACAGCAGATGAGATGTAATGTCCCTGTCCCATCATTCAGTCCGTGTTCCTTTGGTTTGACACCAATGTGTCTGCATTAACTTGTGATGATTTTTGCACATTTTACAATGGATATCAGCAAGATTAAGGAATTTTAATAGAGTAAATAAGGAGAAACTGTTTCCACTGGCAGGTGAGTCGGTAACCAGAGGACACAGATTTAAGATAATCGGCAAAAGAACCAGAGGCGAGATGGGAGAATTTTTTTGTTTGTTTATTTTTTTTAAACACAGAGAGGTGTTACGATCTGGAATGCACTGCCTGAAAGGGGGGTGGAAGCAGATACAATAATAACTTTCAAAAGGGAATTGGATATTTACTTGAAAAGGAAAAAATCGCAGGGCTATAGGGAAAGAGTGGGGGAGTGGGACTAATTGGATAGCTCTTTCAAAGAGCCAGTAGAGGCACTAAAGGGTTGAATTTGCCTCCTTCTGTGCAATAGGATTCTATGATTTTACAATTAAAGAATATCCAAAGAGAAAACATGCATACACAAGTATTTTGAGAGAAAAAATTTATTCATATAAACATTCTACAATACAAAATACAGAAATCTTTAAAAACAATTACACTTGAGAAAATTCTGTTACTTCAGATAAATGGATTCTGAACAATGTAAACATAATCCTAGTTTACTCTCCTTTCTAATAATGCATCTAATCACACATCAAACATTATTCAAAATACTCAATGCAAGACTGGAAAGAATGGAAAAAACAGAATGCGATTTTAACAATTGAATTTAATTTCATATTTTTGCAGGGATGAAGGCTTGAATCCTTGGAGGGCAGAGTAAAAGGTTATTTGATATACAGACTGGTCCTCATTGTGAGCCAAGGCTTCAGTAAAATAAAAATACTGAAATCAAAAAGGGAAATTCCGCTTGCTACTAAGTGCAGGAACTTGACAATGTACATTTGTAATAGGAAAATCCCATTATTGTCAGTTGCCAAACCCAGTGGCAAGAGAAACAGATTGGTCAATTTAGTCATTTATAACTTTAATACAATAGAAAATATTAAGGTATAGGGAGGGTTTTAAGATACCTGATATTCATTAAAAGATCAAAACTCAACTAACTTTTTAAAACCTTCACAACCATAGGTTAGATAGCACATGAGAATCGGTGAATGCTTAAAATGTTTCCAATTTTGAGCAAAAATGCAATACAAATGATAAATTGAGACATTACACAAGTTTGTTGTACTTTATTGCCCTGCAATAAATTCCAAATAAAAGGTTCAGTAAAAGTATTCTTCCTGCAACATTTTGTTTATCAAGAAAATGATTTTAGATTCCTTTCTATTTTGGACCACATTATGCATCAGTAAAAAAATTCTAAATATAAACGTTGAAATCTTAACAACTAAATTGGCTAAATACTTCAACAGGTACACTAAATATAATCATTGCAGTTCAATAGTATTCATTATGCTCTTAACAAACTGGCCATATAATTTTAACTAACGGTAATAAAAATCACGAATAACCTGAAATATTAGACTTGTGTAATTGGGAGCAAAAGTCACAAATTGTCAAAAAAAGTCAATGAAAGTAGGAGCTGGTGTAAAATCTACAATCACTGCCATACTCCTTACTGCCACCGGAGGATACTAGCAAACTGATATCCAATGGTACTGCACAGGATGAGCAGTTTCTTTATTTGAGAGTCCATTATAATTAATGATTAATGTAAAGATTTATCCAACTTAAAAACTCATGACAACTACGTACATATTCTATATTCATTACTGAAACTAGCGCGGAGATGCAATAACATCTGTTCTCAAAAACTCAACTCATTTCCCTGATGCAACCAAAATTCGCTGTCTAAGTGGAGATGTTCAACTACTAATAACATGATCCCACCCTTTCCCTCCCCATAGAAAATAAACAGTGGATTTCTTTATGAAAATAACAATGGTAAAAACAGTAATGGTAAAAATACTCACTCAGAAAAATAAAGCCAATTGGTTGGAAATTCTCACCGCTGCCATTTAGAAAAAAGAACATTCAAACTTTGCACCGTAGACGTGCTACACTGTCAGGATTGATGGGCGACAATAGCAAAGGAATGTTGGGCAAAATCGGTTCTAACAATTTTAAAAACTTACACTGAGAACATCAAACTATGCTACATAAAAGAGTTCGTAAAAAATAGATTTATGAAATGTGCACCGATCATGGAGCTACTCAAGTTGGTCCCAATTAAAAAGATCCATCAACCTTGTTGAAGTACCTAAGTAACAGCAAACTGTGCTCAATAAAGTTCTAAACAATAAGAAATTTAGAAAAATGGAGGTATCTAAAATATTTATTAAATTTTGCCTCCAGTTGATCTAATTACTTCCCCAACAGCACAAAAACAATCTTCATAGTCTCTCTCAGCTAGCGTTTTCTTTTCCTTTTCGATAACTTATTTGTAGTTCTTCGCAACTCGTCAAAGGTTGCATGATCTTCTTCAACATCTTCCTCAAAACCAGCTCCTTGCTGGTTACTTTTAGGTCCTGACAATCAATAGTGTGTATGTGAAATATATGAAAGTCAATTCATCAGAGATAATCACGTAACCAAACATAGATAATTTTCTTTCCAGCGTGTCAGTGACACGATGAAGACTTCTGGCAAAGCATATTGGCTATCCAGCCTCAATAATAATAATTTTTATATAGCACTTTACCACAGCATTGACATGACAGCATGCAGTGACTGTGTAATTTATAGGCAAACGCGCTAGCAATTTGTGCACAACATTGTTCCACAAACAGCTATCAACTACAATTTTTTATCTGATGGATAATTGGCCAGTGCATCAGGAGAAACTCCCTTCTCTTTTCAAGATGCACCACATGATCTTTAACATTCTCCTGAAAAGGCAAATAGCACTTGGTTTAACTTTCCAAACAAAGGATTGCACCACTGACAACGCAGCACAGGCCCAACACTGCATTGGAGTGTCAGTCAAAATCACAACGTGGGGCTTGAACCCACAATCTTTTGACTAAGAGGGGAGCGTGGCCGAAGGAGGATCTTGTGATGTGCCTTGAAGGATCCTCAATCTTTAGGGCAGTTTTATAATAATGATATAATTCATGCATTTGAGATAGCGCCTTTCACATCGTTGAGACGTCTCAAAGCGTTTCACAGGATATACTGTAAAGTGGATTGACTGTATTTTGTGAGCGAAATGCCGTAGCCGGGTGCATACAGCAAAGTCCCACAAACACCCCCCAGTGCTACAGCTTAGACCATGTACAAAAACAAAAAGGATATTGCAGCGATTGAGAGGATACAGAGGAGGGCAACTAAAACAACTGAGGGAATGGAGGGACTGAGCTATGAGGATTAGCTAATCTGGGCATGTTCACCCTGGAGAAGAGAAGGCTGAGGGGTAATATGTTTACGGTCTTTAAGATTCTAAAGGTCTAATCTTTAAGGTCTAAAGATTCTATTTTATCATGTACTGAACACAGGACACTACCTGGGACTGAAGGGGTGTAAATTCAGAATAAATCTGTGGGAATGCTACTTCCAGGATCGAGTAGTAAATGTGTGGAACAGGCTCCCTCAGGAGACGGTGGGAGCAGAAAGTAGATTTCTGTTAGGAAATAGTATCTCGGGATACAGTGTGACATGTGCATGCAGTATGCCAATATGGTGGAAGACAAACTGGATGGACCTTGGTCTTCTTTCGCCTAGCAAATTCTTATGTCCATATTAACACTCAACGGGTAAAATAATAATTTAAAAAATCCTCCCCATGCTTTTCCTTTTAGTTTCCCTCTGCACTTTTCGATGAACTTTATATTTTATTATTTTCTACTTGGATTCCAGTCTTTTTTCATAAACTTTCAAAAAAAAATCTCAGTTCTTTTCCATCCTTGGAGAAGTTTGGTGGCAACTTTTTTTCCAAAACAGCTAAAACCTCATAGCTTGCTGTCCAGTTTAATTTAATTGGCTGAAAACAATCTCTAAAGACCAGGTGTTCAGCCAATGAAAAGCTCAGACCATCAAGCTTAGCATCATCACATTATTGATTTAATGTGGTCAACGCTGCAAATGGAAAATTATCCTCACAGGTTTGTAGGGTAACCATGTAATAACAGTCACCCCACTTGGGTCAAGCAAGAGAAAGCAACTGGCACCCATGGAAAAGTAACCCCCACCCCCTCCCCCTCACACACCCAAGTCAAACAACATCAAAAAAGGATGCCAGTGGAGAAATTGGAAAAAAGCTGGTGAGAAAATAGCATCCCAGCAAGTTGCACCCAGTGTGCTGTGCGTGCTGTGCTATGCCGGCTATGGTTGGGTTTGCTGCGCCGTTAAATTGGTAATTCAGTAAGTAGGAACCCAGTTGTTAGTCAATTGGTTGATGGTAATAATCCCTCAATCCAAGACTGTTTGAGGGGTACCCCTGTGCATGTTTAGCTGCCGCGTTTCTCCCACAAAATACACTTTAGAATACATTAAGTTTGCGCTGATCCACCTACCCTCATCATTCCTGCGCAGGGAGATCTCCTCTTGCCAATGAACAGCCTCTTGTACAATTTCCTGAAGAGTCAAAACTTTTTGTAACAGTGCTGTCCTGCCTAAATGAGGTGGAAAGATAGGTTATTGTTGAAGAGACAGTTGTTTTGAGATTAAGTCAAGTGCAATCCCGTAAAATTTCCAAAACAATAATTGAAGGACCACATTTGGCGGGCGGGCCGGACAGGCGGGGGGCGTGAAGCAGGCCACAGCCTGCTGAGCGGAGAGGTTGATAAGGGGTTAGCAGGTCACAGAAGTTAGCAGATCACAGAGGTAAGAAGGGGCAAGACTGTTGAGGGCCTTGAAGGAGAGGAGTTTGAACTCTGAGGGATAGGGAGCCAGTGGAGCCGAGCGAGGGTGGGGATGATAGGAGGCGGTGGAGGAGAATAGAGTGATCAACTGTACCAAAGGCAGTGGAGAGGTCAAGGAGGACGAGGAAACAGAGGGACCCCTGGTCACAGACGGACGGAATGTTATTTCACACTTTGACCAAGGCTGTTTCTGTGCAATAGGCAGCATGGAAACCTGATTGGAGGGGTTCATACAGGGAGTGGCTGGAAAGGAAGGAGCAAAGCAATGATTTGTTCAAGGACCTTGGAAAAGAAATGGGGCAGGAGGTTGAAGATGGGGCAGTAGTTTGAGAGCAGGAAAGGTTTTTTGACGACAGAGGTGATGACAGCTGTTTTTAAGGGGGTGGGAATGATGCTAATGGACAGGGAGAGGTTGATGAGATCGGTGAGTAGAGGGGCAAGGAGGTGGAGCTAGGAGGTAAGGAGAGGGGTAGGGATGAGGTCAAGGGAGCAGGTGGTGGGTTTCATTTGGGTTACAGTGGTGGCGAGAGAAGAACCACACCAGTGTCACGGAGTTTAGGTTGTGGTGTATGGTGGAAGGTGTAGCTGGGTGGTGTGGCCTCAGTCAGGGGTCACCAGAGGTAATCCAGATTTCTGTGAGGGCCAGGATATCAATGTTTCCATCAACAATGGAATGATCGTAAGGGCTTTGTTGGAAAGGGAGCGGACGTTTTGTAGGGCAATTTGGAGGGGACAGGTGGTAGAGGAATGTGTGAGACGGGAGAGGGTGTGGGACGATAGGCAGGGAAGGTGGGAATGTGGATGAGTGGGGGATTGGGTAGTCAGTATGGCTGCTGATGGACATCCAAAGGTGAGCCCGACGGAGGATTCCCAGGCTGGAGCAGAGGGAAGCTGTGGGACGGACGGTCAAGTGGGGATAGGAGGCGAGGAGGACGGAGGGAGAGGAGGACCGAGTGGGAGTGAATGCAGGGTACAGGACAGCAATGGGGGCATTTTGGGGGAAAGCAGTTCGGGTCGGGGGAAAGCAGTTCGGGTCGGGGGCAGCAGCCAAAATGCGCAGGTCAAGACTAGAGGTAGGCAGTTAGCGGGACATAGTCAAGCCACAGGCATGAAAACAGCGAGGGGCTGGAGAAGGCAGTGGGGGGGCTGGAAGAGGCAGCGGGGGGCTGGAAGAGGCAGCGGGGGGCTGGAAGAGGCAGCGGGGGGCTGGAAGAGGCAGCGCAGAAGGGGGTTGAGGGGGCAGGGCACTCATTGAGTTACAACAACAACTTGGATTTATATAGCAGCCTTTACTCAGCGTAGAGTCCCAGAGCACTTGACAGTGGTGGAGTCTGACCCTGAGCCAGGAGGAGAGGGAGGGGGGGGGGAGGTGACCATAAACACGATCAAAACAGAAGGTCTTCAGGCGGGATTTAAAAGTGAGGAGGGAGGGGGCAAGGCAGAAGGATTGAGGGAGATCCAGAGCTTTGGGGTGTAATGGTGAAAGCACGGCTGCCAATTGTGGAGTGGAGGGGGTGAGGGACAAACAGGAGGCTGTAGCCGGCCGAGCGGAGGCAGCTAGTGCTGGAGTGGGGGGGTAGGCAAATCGGATAAGTGTTATTCACCGGGTTGCCCAAGCTGGAAAATAACACAGAGAAGCTTACAGGGGAAAGAGAGAGGAAGGAGATAACAATATAAAATTATATTGAACCGATTCCTTCCAATAATTTAAAACTGGCCGGCGGAAGTGATGTCACGCGGGGAGTTTCGACCGTTGGTTCAGGCGGGAGATTTTGAAATGGCATCTCCATGTCTGAACCCACCGGTGGCCGCGACTCCCCCTGATCTTCACTCACCAGCCAGTGCCCACAACTAGTCTCGATCCCAGAGACCTCGGCCCTGCCTGCCGTTACCTGCCGGGCCCATCCCCGAAACCTCGACTCTACCTATACCTGCCGGTTCTGATCCACGAGACCTCGGCCCTACCTGCCAGCTCCTGCTGACCTCGATCCCAGAGACCTTGCTGCCACACTCGCCTCTCGCACTGACCCCGCTTCTGCACTAACCTCGCGCCAGAACAGCTCGCTCGGTTTGCCCCACCGCCGCCGCTCCTGGTTACCTCCCGCCCGGCGGCCTCGAATCAGCTCCCGGTCGCACGGATGAAAGGAAATCAAGGATAAACCACAGGGATGCAGAAGTCATTAAAAGAGACAGAGCAGGAAGGAGCGAAACCATGTCAGGATGATGTTAGGTTAAGAGAAGTGATAGAGGAAGACTACAATGTCTTTGAATTAACAGAGTTGCAAAGGATCATCATTTAATGTGAAATGCATTACCTGCTGCCCATTTTTTATGGACATAGATGGCGTTTATTGCAGTTGAAGTTGCATCGATATTATTCTTCAGTTTTTCATAGATTACTCTGGATTGCTCTTTTGAGGCCAAGTAATCGATGGCAGTTTCCTCAAAGCTCTGCAGTATATTTTGACCTTCTCTCAAAATAGGCTCCACACATTGTATGAACCATTTCAGATATTCATCATATGCAGCCTTCTTTGCTCTGTGATCCTCATGACTAATGTGAGTGAGAAAAGATTCCGTCAATTCCACAGCTTGACTTCCCATCTCTTCCCAGTTATCTGTGACTAACTCTGTCTGGTTGGTGGCCTCTTCATAATCCTGATCATGGATATTAATATAGCTTTTGAAGCTACTGGAAAATTTCACTCCACAGAGATCGCACTGCGTACTGTCTATTTGGGCTTCCCTGAAGTTGCTAGGAATGGCTTCGCTTTGTTTGTTGGCAACTGAAGTCCCCTGCTTTGAAGCTGCAAGCAAGTATTTACAAAACAGAATTACATGCAGAAGACGCCGCCATCTCTGTTTCACAATATTCTTTTTCTGCACTGTGGAGGCAATGTCCTGGAGATGATCATCACTTTCCTCAAGGTGCTGCTCAACTTCAGGGGCAGTTTTATTTTCCTTTGGCTCAAATACAATCTCATGAATTTCCGTTTGGAACTCATTACTGAATCGGTCAGCCTTCAACTTCTGAAAATAAATCCCCCGCACTGACCCAGGGCCAAGGTGCTCCCATCGCCATTCACAGTCATGCAAATACTCTCCGTCCCTCTCATTCAGCAACTCTTCAAGGGCATCCACTACCATTTTAAGACTGCGTGCAGCATTAACTTTTTCTACAACTTTGATAAGTCTGACTGGAACTTTTGACTTGTGTTCAGCAACAATTTCATTCAAATGTTTTTCCGCCTCATTGAAGTTATATCTGATCATTTGCTCAATCTGTGGGTCCGCAATAAGCTCAATGTTCACCAACATTACGAGACACAGAACTACTGTTCTCTCTGCCTCTCCCGATAAAGTATTCTCTACATTACTAAATGCATCCAGAAGGACATTGAAGTTCTCAAACCATCCACACAAAACTTTGACCAGGTAGAAGAGGTGCCGTCTCATTTTGTAAACTGCTCCTTGTGAATCCTTTGGTTTGTATTCATTTATGATACTAAAGGCATTCTTTCCATTGAACATGAAGTCCCAATAATAAAAAAGTGCAATGAAGCTCCTCGGGAGGCAGAATGTGAGGTTCTTCACTAGACGCATAAGAACAGAGCAGCATAAAACAAACTGGAACTCGAGCATCATGACAGTGTTCACAATGCTTGGGATGAGTGGCTCAACACATTTCATAACTGGTACATTCATGAAACGAAAAAAGGTGTGAATGCACTTCTCTGGGTCTCTCCCCTTGTAGAATTCATTCATAGATGTAACCAGCAGCCTAAAGAAGCACAAGGGCAGCGTCTTTGTATTCAGCATCCCAAACTTCCCCTCTGGTCCTCTGTCTTTCCTTCTTTTGCTCTGGACTTTCTTGTCTTCATGTTTCTCTGTTGACTGCTTCGCTCGTTCAAATCTGTACGCACTTTCTTCTTTTTCGAGCAAGAATTCAATTTTATTGGGATAGTCGGAAGTTAGAAGGTAAACCTGTTGGGCCTCAAGCCAAAGGTCTGTTGACTCTCTGCGATCCCGAGCTGTTGAGGATTCAAAGCGAGAAGCAATGTACATCCTTAACACAGTTTTGAAGCTGTTGTATTTAATGGAATTCACCAACCCCAAGACAATTTTGCAAGCTGCTGCGTTCTCCGATACAATTCTCTGATGGAAATGTTTTGGAAAAACGGCACATAACAGAGGCTTGCATAAAGCGTACTGATCTCCAGTGAGGATATCTTCAATTTTTTTAACATCTGGAAACATCTTTTCTGTGAAGAAATGTTTGGCTTCCACCAACATGCCATTAAGTGCTGTCAGGTAAAACTTAGCTGCAAAGGATTTTTGTGCTTCATGCCTGAGTAGGAAGTGATGATGGTCATGACATGACGAGGAGGTACACTCCAAACCACAGACAAACTTTGGACAAACATCTGGAACACTCAGTCCTGCTTTCTTAATTTCTTCAGCAAAGTGACAAAAGCGGAGCAATAGGTGTTTCTGTAGCAACTTCCTAAGTTCTTTTACTTCGCATTTATAAAAATTGCCTTCCTTTTCCATCTTTTCCTTGAGATCTGGGTCAGATATCAGCTGCAGAATTCTTGCTCCTTCAAATATTGGAATTCTACCGTACTGGGCATCCACATGTAAAATCCCCCAAAAAGCATAGGATGCTTTGACCATTTCTTTCTCAGCATTGTTGTGAGGCTTGTCGAAGGCTTTCACCAACTGAAGCAAAACCTCTAAACAGTTCAATGAGGGTTGAAAATTCATTGCCCGCTTACGATCATGTTGCAGGAAAACAAAGAGGGTCTCCACCATCCCCGCACTGTTGTTTTCACTTCTAAACTGATTGAGAGCAGCCAGGATATCATCGGTATTTTTGGTTATCACTGCTTTCAGTAGCAAGGCTTCAGCTAAACCAGACACTAGGTGCTCTGTGTTCCCGAGGAGATTTATTGCTTCTTCTAATATCTCTAGTTTGTCTGAGCCACTGATGTCTTTTCCCTCCCCTCTCAGTAGACTCACTCGAGCTGCAGCAACAAGACATTCAGCTTGAAATTCCTTCTTATTGGAAAGTCTTGCTGCCTCCTGGAGCTTTCCATGCTCCCGCATCAAGACAGCCGCTTCTTCCTCACGTCCCTGCTCTTTTAAGAGCTCAGCTGCTTGTTGCACACAATTCTTTGCCTTCAAAAAGACCAATTGATCTTCAGGGTGAAGGCAAGACAGAGAATTCATCATTTCCATGGGTTTGTGCTCCCTCAGATACTTTGCAGCAGCCTCTAACCAGAATTGATCCGCAGTGTAGGGAAGTTTGGTGAAAGGATACTTCTTTTTGCAAAGTATGGTTTCATACCTGATTTTTTTTAAAAAAGCACACAAGATTAAAAGGATCATTAACATGCAACTCCACTAAAGATCTGTAAGACGTGTTTATGTGTATATATTTTTAAGAGATCTAAATGCTTGTTTTACATAGGAAAAAGAGATTCACATCTTCAGAGCAGAGCTCCTGATGGGAGAAAAGAACAGAAAAGTATTCCAAGGATGAGATTTTTTTGAAAATTTGATACATGTAGAAACCCATCACCATGCTTAAGAGTATCCAAATCAAACAGAGTTCCACATATGCATGCCACCTACACACGGAAATTTCCCTGCATCTGGAGTGGAATCTGTACTCTCTCCTTGGAGGGATGGACCCTTTTTAACCAATTCTGGAGATTTTAGGGAAGCGTCAAGGCTTGGGGACCACAGAGTGTGGGTTGGGGTACTGCTGGAGTCTGACCAACTAACTCTGCATTGCTTGTGACTGAAACCGCTATCCCCGAAATTTCTTGCTCTTGTTCAGCTAGGAGCACCCTAGCCATTAGAACTTTGGCTTATAATAGAATATAATAATTATGATATAATCAGTAAGGCCTTTGATACAGTTCCTCTGAAAGTAAAGAGAGCGAGAATCCGTGGAAGTCTATTACAATGGATTTGTAACTGGTGGACCAGAAGAACCCAGAGAATGGTGGTACAGGGAATGTCATCAGATTGGGAAAATGTTACCAATGGAGTCCACAAGGGTCTGTTTTGGGTCCACTTTTGTTTAATATTTTTATAACTAGGAGTCGTAAAGCACAGTGGCTACGTTTGCAGATGACACCAAGCTAATGAAGACGGTAGATTGCAAAGCCAAACAGAATAGGTTACAGCAAGATTTGAACATACTTGGGAATTGGGCAGATGAAATTCAGTGTAGAGAAATGTAAAGTACTTCACATGGGGCCAAAGAATCCAGGAAGGGTCTATTATTTGAACGGAATCAAAATAATATGTATGGAAAATAAAAAGTGGGGGGTCCTGATTGACAATAATTTGAAGCTCTCGCAACAATGCTCTAAGGCAGTGAGTAAAGCAAACCAGATCTTAGGATGTATCAAAGAAAGATAGCAAGCCAAAATACTGGGGTAATTCTGCCACTGTATAAATCATTGATGAGACCGTACTTAAGAGTACTGTGTAGTTTAGTGTCCCACAAACAGTCGTAGATTGATTATTATTATTATTTTTTTGAAGGGATTATTACCCCAGAAAAGTGATCAGCCAATCGACTAACTGGGTTCCTACTTACTGCTAGGGAAAGAGAGGGATGTATAGTAACGAGTCTTGCCCAACGTTTCGACCCTGCCTGGGAATCGAACCCAGGTCCTCTAGCTTGCGAGGTGAGTGGTCTAACCACTATCCTACAGGACTCCACTTGCAAGGTTAATAAGAGCTGATTGAGAATAATCGCTGATCTCAGTGACTCTCAGTGCCCCTTTTAAATCCTTCCAAGTTGATCTGTCATGAGCAGTGCCTTGTAGTTCTGTGTATCCACCCGGCTCAGGAACCAAACTGCTGTCACAACCATAGAGGGTTCACTTGATTCTCACATTCCATTGCCAAACATGTCACCTTGGCTACTTAGCTCTAAGAAGACCCAGTTTACCTCAACCGCACCCCACCCAACAATTTTGTATTGGGGGGTGGGGCAGCCAGGAGTCTGACATATGCGGAAACCCATCGCTGTGCTTAAGAATAGCGAAACCAAGCTGAGATTTCCATGTATCTCACCTACACATTGGAATCCCAGAGACAGATTGTTGGAATGGAATGTGCACTTTCCCACTGGAGGGACGTATCCCGCTTACCTAATTCCAGAAAGTATTAGGCGCAATTTGGCAAGAGCCAAGGCTTCGGGATGCCAGAGAGTGCGTTGGCATACTGCTGGAGTCTAACTAGCTAAAATAGCATTGCTTGCCATTGATATCGGTGTGAATTTATATAGGGCCTTTCATGTTGGGAGAATATCCCAAAGCACTGGGCAATCAAGGGGTTGCATCTGAGCTGGGGATTGGATTTGGCGGAGGGGTTTCAGGGGTGGGGGGCACCAGGGTAGGGTGGGTGAGGAAAGATGACAGAAAAGTCTCAAGATAGATCATGAATGAGGTGAGGGAAGGTGAGGCAGAGAGACTCCTTAATGGAGTTCCAGGGTGCAGGGGCAGAAAGCTTCTGCCACCACTGGACCCCTCCTGAGGTGAGAAGGCGCTGATGGGAGCTAATCAGGAGAGTCTCAGTCCTGTCGACATTCAGCTGGAGAATGTTAACTCTCATCCAACACTTGATGTTTGACGGGCATTCGATCAGAACAAGAGATCCTGCAATCGAGGCAGTGAGATAACGTTGGGTATCATCCGCATACATGGGGTAGTTAACCCCATGCGGGTCAATGGTAGCGCAGAGCGGGAACATGTAAATGTTAAATAGATGACCAAGGATAGAGCCCTGAGGAATACCGCATGTGAGAGTGCGAGGATGAAGAAGCTGTTGGGGGAAACAAAGTAGAGACATTTGGAATGGTAAGAATGAAACCAGGAAAGGACAGAACCATGAAGATGAAACTGCGAGAGGCAGTGGAGAAGGATAATAATAATACTTGCATTTGATATAGTGCCTTATCACGTCTTCAAGACGTCTAAAGCGCTTCACAGAATATACTGTAAAGTGAATTCATAAAATCATAGAATTATACAGCACAGAAGGAGGCCATTCAGCCCATCGTGTTCGTGCCGGCTCTTTGAAAGAGCTGTCCAAATGAATCCCACTCTACCCGCTCTCTCCACATAGCAGCGCTCTCCCCCGCTCTCTCCTGCAAATTTGTCCTCCCCAAATATCTATCTACTCCCCTTGAAAGTTGTTATCAAATTGGCTTCCACCACCCTTTGACTGTATATTTGGTTGTTTGACAGCTTTGAAGGCAGCAAGGGGGTCAAGGAAGATGAGGAGGTAGGGCGAGCCCGGATCACACATGGAGAGAATGTAATTTGTGCCTTTGACTAGGGCAGTCTCGATACTCCCCCAGGAGGATAGTCTCTAGTTGGATGTTAGACACGGGGTGAGCAGCACAGCTCAGCAAGAAATGCCTGAGAACATTCCCACCATCTGCCTAACCACAGCTTGAACACACATCCCTACTGATGGTGCCACCATTTGGAGGTGCAGAGCTTGAGCTGCAGCTGCTTACTTCTCTGAAAACCTAAAAATTGAGAAAGGATAATGCATGCTAATCTGAACATTTTATAGGCCTTATTCCTGTTGGAAGATTGGACTAATTCTATGACATGTGCAACATAAGGAATGGAAGAAAGAGAAAGATTTTGGAGCATTAAGAGTTAAGACAATTAACAGGAGGAGGAAGGGATGAAATCAAGACTTTTTTTAAAAAACAAGAAATATTTGTATGCCACCTAGACAGGTGAAAGTGTATGTTATTCAACACTGCAATGCTCGATTCTGAATACCTTTTAATAGCCTGAGCAGCATCGTTGTACAATTCACCACAGCAAAGCATTTTTAGTGCCAACTCAAACTCGTCCACTTGCTCATAACATTTTGCGGACTGCTTGTAACATTGTGCTTTTCTGTACATGGTGGCAGCATCTTTCATCTGAGATTAAAAAAAGAGCTTCTGGTAATTTATTGATACATTACAATAACTTGCACCCTTCACCCGGTGAGCGTTTCAGATCGCATAATGTTGGAAGTGTTAATATGCCACGTTAAATTAACATTGCAAACGATAATATGCTGCCCTACTCATAAATTATAATGAATAGGTTTACATAGATCATACAGCACGGAAAGACAAACAAGAGGACCAAACTGGATCCTCAAGTTGCTTTTCTGGCTGTTATACTGCTCAAATCTTTTCAACCCCAAATTTACAGAAAGTTAAATAAATACCTTTCCCAATTTCTCAGAGAGATCGCCACAGAGTTTGTATTCTTTTGCATTCCTCAAACACTTCAGAGAGAGCTTCGGCACATTACATTCCAGGTACGTTTTAGCCAGAGCCAGATATTCCATTTGAATAGCTCTGGAATAAATCAGATGTATTTCAAAGCATCATAAACATCTGTGGGTCGACATTTTTTTTGCATGAAAACAGAGTGCTCCAGGAAGAATGGAAGTCAGAAATGCATGACTACACTAAAGGTAGGCTCTCTCACAGAGGTCAAAGTTCTCAGATGTCTGAAACAGATTAGAAGTTTCAATCTGAAAGCACGTTTTAGCTACCCACAAACACAGATTCAATAGTTTTCTTTTAAGAAATAACATTATGGGATATAGAATCATAGAATTATAGCACAAAAGGAGGCCATTCTTCCCATCGTGTCTGTGCCGGCTCTTTGAAAAGAGCTATCCAAATCAAATCCCCCCCCACCCCCGCTGCGCTTTCCCCATAGCCCTGCAAATTTGTTCTCCCCAAATAATTATCTACATCTCTTTTAAAAGCTGTTATCAAATTGGCTTCCACCACCCTTTCAGGCAATGCATTCCAGATCTGAACAACTCACTGTGTAAAAAAATTTCTCCTCACCTCCCCCTCTGTTTCTATTTTAGAAACAACTATTTTAAATCAGTACCCTTCGGTTACCGACCCACCCGCTAGTGTTCACGCTATCGAATCCCCTCATAATTTTGAAAACTTTTAATTCTCCTCTTAACCTTCTCTGCTCCAAGGAAAATAATCCCAACTTCTCTAGCCTCTCCTCATAACTGAAGTCCCTCATTCCTGGTACCATCCTGGTAAATCTCCTTTGCACGCTCTCCAATGCCTTGACATCCAGTGTTTTATAAAATTCATCATATAGTACATAGGTAGTTTGGGACCTATTTGCATGCGACTTCCAGGAAGGTGGAAGACGAACTAGATGGACCTTGGTCTTTTTTCGTCTAGCGTTTCTTATGTTCTTAATGTAATTCATCAATTGCACCCAAAAAATGTTTGCCAAAAGAAAAGCATCCTTGCTACAGCATGGAACAGAAATTTATGGATCCCAACCACAGAGCTATAATGAAGCTACATTGTAATTTGTTCCCATTAATTTCAAAAAACATTTGCCAACAACCTTGCCTGTTGCCCCTTTTTTTTGGTTTTATTCCTGGATTAAGTCATCCACAAAATACACAGTCACTACATTTTATAGCATATCCTGTGAAGCGATATAATAATAATCCTTGTGTTTGACAGAGGGCCTTATCACGTTATTGAGACGTGTCAAAGCGCTTCACAGGAAGTACTGTAAAGTGGATTGATGGAATATTTTGTGGGCGATAAAATGTCCTCCCAATGTGAAAGGCACTATATCAATTGTAAGGATGATTATTATTATTATTGCAAAAAATAGTTCCATTTGTTTGGAAATTGATTTATTTAAGTTTCAGGTTTTTTTTAAAAAATAGTCGATCGCCACTAGGTGGCTTCTCGCACGTGTTCAATAAAAACAAAAAACAGGAGCGATATTTACTGCAGGTCAAGTTAAACATTATAGTTAATATTTTTATTTCCAGATGCATGAAATACTTTGTTCATCTGGTTTCGTTTTCAATTTGACTCAACGATGCAATTCTATCACCCTTTCCTCTCGTCTTTATGGTCATGAGTGCCACCTAGCGGAGCTCCCTGCTAGAAATAGTCAAAATCAAAGGTATTGACACTTTGTCCATCTCTTGTTAAATGGAACAGATCTCCACCCGAATCCTCCTGACGTGAAAAATACTATATAGATGCAACTTTTGGTTGTTGTAATCACTTACTTTTGGCTTCTTTTTTTCGTCTGAACATTGAGCACAGCATCATGAGCTAATGCAAGCTTCTCCTTTTCAATCTCACCACCTTTCTGGTAACACTTGGCAGCAACCTGAAATAATGAAACAAAAGTCTTTTAAAATTATTGGCAAGAAAGAGAAACCTCATCACTGCAAATCATCAACATTAATTAAAACTGCTTTTACATGTTATAAGGCACGATTCAACATCTGCTGTTCTTAGATGAACCCATTTTGTTACTGTGGCTCGTCAATATTCAAAGAATAAACTTTTTTTCTTTTGGTCAGCCACGGAAACCCTTCGCCATGCTTAAGAGTATCCGAACCAAGCTTTCCATGCATCCCACCTAGTCCTGTAGCTCAGTGATTAGAGTACTCGCCTCGCAAGCAAGAGACCTAGGCTTCTATTCCCGGCAGGGCGAAATGTTGGCCAAGTTTCTTTACTCCACACACCTCTGTTTACCTAGCAGTAAGTAGGAACCCAGATGTTAGTCGATTGGCGGATCGTTTTTCCAGGGATCATTATCCCTCAAGAAAAAGTAACATAATAATTTGGTCACTCAATCCATGACTGTTTGTGGGACACTGTTGTGCACAATTGGCTGCCGCATTTCGCCCACAAATATACAGTCAATTCCCTTTACAGTATATTCTGTGAAGCATTTTGAGTCTTCTAGAAGATGTGAAAAATGCTATATCAAATGCAAGGATTATTATTACACATGGAAATCCCAGAGACAGATTGTTGGAATGGAATCGGCACTCTCTCCCTGGAGGGACGCATCCTGTATTAGGAAAGTATTAGGCAAGAGCCAAGGCTTGAGGACTGCAGAGTGTGTGTTGGGGCACTGCTGGAGGCTAACCAGCTGAAACCACATAACTTGCCATTGATATTGCTGTCCGGCAAGCCTTCCTGCAATTTGTCCAGCTACGACCACCCTACCCGTTAGGGCTTTGGCTTGCAGGGTTAACAGGAGCTGAGTGGGATTACTCTCTGTCCCAGTGACAGGTCTGCCCTTCCATGTCCTGCCGATGAACCAGGCTGTGCTGTGCTGTCAGCAGTAGTGCCCTGGAATACTGCAAACCTGCCTGGCTAAGGAACTAGACTACATAGACTGCCACAGAGACTGGCTCAATTGTGACATTCCATTGCCAGGCATGTCACCTTGCAGCCAGTTCAGCTCCAAGCAGATCCATTTACCTCCCCTCCTGCCAGCCCCCAAGGAGGATAGTCACTAGTTGGTCGTTCGACATTTGACAAGCGCAGGTTCGAGCCCTCACTACGTGGATGGTAGATACAAGGAACTCTTTGCAATCTTTCGCGAGAGCATTGCCACCGTCTTTCTGTCCACAGTGTCAGACACATGTTCTTTCCCATTAAGCGATGGTTCCATCAGCTGGAGGTGCAGAGTTTAAGCAGCAGTTTAAGCCTCTCTGGAGGCCAATCAAGGTGGATCCAGGCTCTGGACGTACGAATGTGTGTTCACAATCTCAGACTCCAGGTAGCGTCTTCCAGCAGTTTCTTCCCCCAAGACTTAAGAGTTTCCTCATCAGCTATCTGGCAGGCATCTGACTTCAGCGTGGTGGGCAGACCTTTACAGGACAGCTTGTGATGTGCCAGCCACCTTGATGTTTTTGAGGGGTCCAGTACCGGTTCCAAGTCCAGTACCGCATACCAGGCGTACTCAGCACCAGCTGCTCAATCTAGGTCCTCATGAGGGGCCTTAGCAAATAGACGTGCCCGCTGTGAAGCCGACTCTGCTTCCAGGGCGTTTAAGAACATAAGAACATAAGAATTAGGAGCAGGAGTAGGCCATTCGGCCCCTCGAGCCTGCCCCGCCATTCGATAAGATCATGGCTGATCTTCAGACCTAACTCTAATTACCCGCCCTATCCCCATATCCTCTAATCCCTCTGTTTTTAAAAAAATCTCAGTCTCAGCCTTGAAGATGCTCAAGGACTGAGCATCTACAGCCTTCTGGGGTAGTGAATTCCATAAATTCACTACCCTCTGAGTGAAGAAATGTTTCCTCAACTCTGTTCTAAAAGGCTGACCCTTAATTTTAAGACTGTGACCCCTGGTTATAGATTCTCCTACCCGGGGAAACAGACCCTCAGTGTCTACTTTATCCAGCCCTTTAAGAATCTTATATGTTTCAATAAGATCTCCCCTAATTCTTCTGTACTCTAGAGAATACAGCCCTAGTTTATTCAGCCTATCCTCATAGGTCAGTCCCCTCATCCCAGGAACTAACCGAGTGAATCTACGCTGCACCCCCTCCAGGGCAAGTATGTCCTTTTTTAAATAAGGAGACCAAAACTGCACACAATACTCTAGGTGCGGTCTCACCAAGGCCCTATACAGTTGCACCAAGACTTCCCTACTCTTGTACTCTAAACCTTTTGCAATGAACGCTAACATGCCGTTCGCCTTCTTAGTTGCTTGCTGCACCTGCAAACTAACTTTTTGAGACTGGTGTACAAGGACACTCAAATCCCTCTGCACACTAACACTATCTAATCTCTCCCCCTCTAGAAAATAATCTTGTTTTTCTATTTTTTCTACCAAGGTGAATAACTTCACACTTCCCCAACAGGTAAGTGTAGGCCGGAGCCCTCCCTCCCTGTAGCAGCTTCCCATGTCTGCCACAAATCCACCTCACTGCTTGATCCTGGACTTTGCAGATGGGTCGGAGAAAGCTTCTCCCCTGCATCCTTAGGATCTCAGATTCATGAAGCAGGACTGTTTTTACACAGGTCTTGTAAGCCATAAGCTTGACCTGCATTGGGACTTTACTGTCCTTGAAGAGGGATGAGCATGACCAGAGTGCCTTTCACCCCTTCTCAGGACAGCGTCCAGGCTGAAGTTCGGTCTTGTTTACCCAAAACTATGTTTTCAACCTCACTTCCGTGCCATGACCCACTCTGCCTTTCATCACCTCCGCAACATCACCTGGCTCGGCCACCGTCTCACACCGCAGGCTGCCGATACCCTCATACATGCTTTCATAATATTGAGGCTCGACTATGCAAACTCCCTGTTTGTCGGCCTCCCCAAATCCTCCCTCCACAGGCTGCAGATCATTCACAACTCTGCAGCCCATGTCCTCTCCCGCATCAGGCTCCGTGACCATATCACCCCCATCCTCGTCCTACTCCACTGGCTTCCCATCACACAGAGGATACAGTTCAAGATCCTGGTCCTCACCTTCAAAGCCCTCCATGTCTTGTTCCCCCCTACCTCTGCAACCTCCTAATCCCCTACTAACTTGCCCACACCCTCCGCTCAGTGGGCTCTGGCCTGCTTCACGTCCCCCACCTCGCCCGCCCCATCAATGGCAGGCAGGCCTTCAGTCACTCTGCCCCCACCCTCTGGAACTCCACCCCGCAGTCCCTCCACCTCGCCCCCTCCCTTGTCTGCTTCAAGACCTGTCTCAAGACCCTCCTCTTCGACTGTACCTTCCATCACCCTCCCTCACCCCTACCCTCCATCCTCCCCGATCCCAACCCCCAGCTCGGGTCCGAAACACTGATTGTCCAGCACCTTCGGACGTCCTCCCGATGTGAAAGGCGCTATACAAATATAATTTTGTTGTTGTTGTTAATGGGTTTTATGGTCCTGTCATAGTCTTTTAGTTTGAATGATAGTGAGTTTATCATTGTCATTGATAGGGTAAAAACATCACATAGGCACAGTTAAGTATGTACTCCCATGTCTTCCAGTTTCTTCATGAAGCACAAGGTCAAAAGCCTTGCGAAAGTACACCACAAGAATAACACCAAAACACAAAATACTGCAGATGCTGGAAATCTGAAACAAAAACAGAAGTCGCTGGCAACACTCAGCAGGTCAGGCAGCATCTATGGAGAAAGGAAAACGAGTCAACTTTTCGGGTTCACGACTCTTCGTCAGAACTGGGGAAAGTTGGGAGGGAGAAGTCATCAAACACAAGAAGGGAAACAGATGTGCCCAGTTCTGATGAAGGGTTGTAGACCCGAAACGTTGACTCACTTTCCTTTCTCCATAGATGCTGCAAGAATAACACTAGCAGGCATTTATATAGCACCCTGCACAAGGTGGTGTTGGGGAGCTCTACATAGATGTATTACTATGCTCTGTATTGTCTGGCTTATGCAGAGCACCAGAGTTACCAGGAAACATTTTCTTTATAGATTATGAATGAACAATTAGTGTTCTTAAAATTGGATTTGTCTTGCAGTGTTTTCAAAGAAGACTATTTTGTGAACTGACTTATTTATCAGAGGTCTTCCCTTTCTAAAGGAGGCATGATGTTTAAAAGAGAGGTCTTTTATAACGCTCTGAGATGCCGTCCGGCGTGGAGGGCGCTATATACATCCAAGTTTTTGTTGTTGTATATGAATTAGTAGGTTAAAAATTATAATCCTCACAATTGATATAGAGTATTCAAGCGCTCCGGAACGCCAGCCCATATGAACGGTGCTACAAGTTGTTGTAGTTGTTGTAGAGTATTCACATCGGGAGGAAGTCTCAAAGCGCTTCACAGGATCCACTGTAAAGTGTATCAACTGTATCTTGTTGGTGGGTTACTTAAAAGTGCATTTTTACAATTGATAGAAAATGGATCTCTGGGAATCTGACCCATTCCCCAATATCTGTCTCTAGGGAATGGATAAACAGTCACAATGGACGTCAGGTTGACACTATTGAAGTTAATTACTGTTGTGCAAATTGGTTGTCATGTTCACAGTTACTTAATTTTACAGCATTATCTGTAAAGCACTTTGATACGTTTTAGTGTTATAGGCACTTTTGCAAATGTAAAAATTATTCTTCATTAATTTTAAATTCTGTTGAGCACAAGACTCAATCTGAGACCTGTTGAGTGATGCTTTCCTTTGTTTGCCCTGTGTATTCTCTTCCCAATTTTAACCTTCAAAGCCTCATACCCTGAAATCTGACTGAAAGGACAGGCAGCACTGGACTATTCCCACTCTAAGGCTGGAGGTAGAAGGGACGTCAATGGGAGAAGGAAACCATAAAAAATCTTTTCCACTTCCTACTCGTTAGGCATCTTCCCTGAAACATCAGGTCACCAACTTGTTGCCCAGTGAAGTCAGTTATAATCAATCTGTGATCTTAATGATAAACCTTGCATTTGATATAATGCATTGTCGCAAAATCAAGACATCTCAAAGTGCTTCACAGGATATACTTCTAAAGTAGATTGACTGTGTATTTTGGGGCACGTGTGGCAGCCAATTTGTGCACAGCAGTGTCTCACAAGCAGCCGGGGAGTGAGTGACCAATCTTATTTGGGGATTGTTGGCCAGGACACCAGCAGAAATTCCCTTCTCTTTTCAAATAGAGGCATGGGATCTTTAATGTCCACCTGAACAGTCAGATACACCTCAGTTTAACGTCTCATCCAAAGGACAAAGAGCTTGTGGCTTTTTGCAAAATTAGGGAACCATGCAGAAAACTACAATCTCACAATAAGAGCTTTAAGAGTTGAAAAATATGGTTCTGACAAAAGGGAGATTATCTAAAATGTAGTACCTGCTTAATTCTGCTGATGTAGGTATTCTCCACATATGGGTATTGTATAAAAAGCCAATGACCACAGAAAAATTGCAATATCCTAAGTGTGTGGAGGATGCCAAATAAGGAAGAATCACTCATTGGAATGAACTGACACTAAACAAATACATTTGTAGTTCAGTATTTAGTACTCACCTTCCAACACTGATGCTTGGCAAAGTAATCTCCTCTTTCTACCCATTCTTCATTTGTTGAAGTTTTAACAAACATGCTGTCATCAAGCTCTGCAGGTAGAAAACAGGTTTGTTTATTTCAATGATAATAATCCTATAATTTTTACATTTTGTACCATGCCTTTCCACATCAGGACGAAATCTTAAAAGTGTTTCACAGGTTTTACTGTAAAGTGTAGTGACTGTGCAATTTATAGATAAAATGTGGTAGCAAATTTGCCCACGTACCAATTTCACAAACAGCCATGGAGTGAGTGCCCAAGTTTATTTGGGGAATTGTTGGCCAGAACACTGGGAAAAACTCCCCTTCACTTTTCGAATAGTGCCATGGGATCTTTAACATTCACTTGACTCTGTTTAACATCTCATCCAAAAGACAGCACCTTCAACAATGCAACATAACCCCAGCAATACATTAGGGTATCAGTCTAGAAGATCTGACATGAGTGAGGCTTAAGCCTATAATCTTCTCACTTGGGAAGCAAGAGTGGTATCATGTGAATCAGGCTAACACCCAACACCCAATTTAAACAAAAGCTTTCCTTCCCCACAAGATAAATTTACTTCTCCATAAGCAGGAGACTAGTAAAGAGGTAACATCCTAACACTAAGATAAACTGGTTATTAATTCTAGTTTGTTTCAATAGGAGGTGGAGTATTTTGGTGCCAAATTCATTCGTACCTTTGTTCTCATCTGGTTTAACAACTTTGACAAAACCTCTTTTGATGAAATATTCAAATGCTGGGCCACGTTTTCCTTTATTTTCATCGAAGATCCATAGGTTGACCCTGGCTCTGGTAAAGGCTGTGTACAACTGCTTTAGTTCCCCATTCAGGAGCTAATGTGCAAAGAGAAAGTATACATGTCACAAGAATTTCCCATTGACATTTTTGAGGAGGCATAGTACAAACCGGAACAAGAACTAGGAATCCACTCATCAACTGAATAGTGCTACATCCACAATTTGGTAAGATATTTGATATGTAGCTGGTAACAGCATTCAACCACATTTGTAAACTTGTGTTTCAAGATCCTAAAGGGTAGGGGTAAACTGAACCCTAATAATTTTTTTTTAGCAAGGTAAACAAAAAAATCTAAAAGGGCACAAATTCAAGCTCAGAATAGGAAAGGTGAATGTATGGAACTCACTACCCCAAAGGGCTGTTGACACTCAGTCCTTGAACATATTCAAGACTGAGATAAATAGATTTCTTATTGCAAAAGAGATTAAGGGATATGGGGATAAGGCAGGGTCAGGTTAATAATAAATAATAATAATAATCCTTGCATTTGATATAGCGCTTTTCAAGTCGGGAGGACGTCCCAAAGCGCTTCACAGAATATACTGTAAAGTGAATTGACTGTATATTTGTGAGCGAACGTAGCAGCCAATTGCGCACAGCAATGTCCTACAAACAGTCGTAGATTGAAAATGACCAATTTATTATTGTTTTTGTTTTTTGGAGGGATTATTATTAGGCGTGTAGAGTAAGGAAACTTGCCCAAGGTTTCGCCCTGCCTGGAATTGAACTCAGGTCTCTCACTTGCAAAGCGAGTGCTCTAACCACTGAGCTACAGGACTCCATTAGGTTATTAGATGGAGTTAGATTAGAAGATCAGCCATGATTGAATGGCGGGGCAGGCTCAAAGAGCCGAATGGCCTACTCCTGCTCCTACATGTTATGTTAACCGATAGTGCATATTCAATAACTTTATTCAAAGTGATAAATACTGTACATATAATACATCCCAAATCCTACCACTTCCAATGCACACTCCTCCCCCCCCACCAGCTCGACATCCAACCTCATCCCTGTAAAGCACTCGAAGACATGACCCTAAGTCAAGGCTGCTATAAAATGGCTGCTGTATCAAGGTTGCTGTTGTCCTACCACGGGAGGTGGTGGAAGCAGATTTTGTAAGCAAATTCAAAGGAAAATTAGACAGCTATTTGGTGAAGAATTCCAAGGGAGGGGTGTGAGAGATGAAAGTAAGGCCCTTTTGACCTAGGACTGGTCAGTGGGACTGCAAATTGCCTTCCAGTCTTGCACATTCCCACATCCCTTCACTTCTGCAGGTCTTTTTAAGTACTGCAGAATACTGGCGTACAAAGAAAGACAAAATTTAAGAATTTTCCAAAATTCTAAACGTTTGTACATTTTAAGGCTATGATGATAATAATAATCCTTACATTTGACATAGAGCCTTATCAGGTCTTCGACACGTCTCAAAGCGCTTCACAAAATATATTGTAAAGTGAATTGACTGTATAAAATGATGTATAAAATTTGATAATGATGAGAAATTTCAAATCTCAGGCCAGCTCTTTCCCCTGCACACAGAGCAGGCTACAATGCAGCGTTCTTCTCTTTCCCCCAATCCAATCCAATTCACACTTTGTTCTGTCTAATCAAGCAGTAGTGTGCTCCTGGTTCAGTAAGGCCTCAAAATAAGTAGACGAGTGAGTTGCATAGGATGCAAATCGCCGAAAAAGACATCTCCATGCTTCTCGTGGAATGATGAATAATTGTATGGAAATTGAACGAATGAATGAATGATAGATGACTACTAACAAATTAGTCAAAAATAGCAAACCAACAGGTAGCAAAGCTTAAATTGTATCTGCAGGCACACCCCTTAGAAAATTTACAGGAACCTTTTTGCTTCACATAAATTTGCAGTCAGCGTGTGTATATGTACACATTAATTAAGTGAATTAAACGAATTGCACCTTGTGTAGTTCTGCATTGAATTCAAGAGGTCTGGTCTGAGAAACAATATCTTCTATTGGTTGCTCCAGTAACTGTGCATGCTGGTCTGTTGATTGAGGTGAAGGTTGGAAGGAGGATATTATTCTCCATTCCTTGTCAGCCTAAAGACACAAACACATAAAATGAGATTGCTCAAGGCTTTTATATCAGAACATTGTAGAATTGAATCACAATTTCACAAGGAAGAACAAAAAAAGGACAGTGGAGAAAACAAGGAATTTCGTCTCTCAAATAAGTAAAGTATTTTTGATTAGTTACAAGTTTTAAATACAGTGCAAGCTGGCTAAGCTGGATGCATCAGGGACGGACATTTTGTCCGACTTAAGAGGTGTCTGAGGTTAACCGAAATACCATTCCGCCAACACCGTATAACAAAATGTTATAATGAATGTTAATGAACCAATGTTAACTAACTAATTAAAGGTTAAAATACTCATAGAATTCAGTAAAATCCATGGTTGTACACTCTACCTTGCTAAGCCAGTCCTGAACCTTGGCATCTTGTTTGACCGTCAACTATCCTTTCTACCCCATATCTGCGCCATGACCCGCTCCGCCTTCCCCCACCTCCGCAACAAAGCCCGGCTCCGCCACTTTCTCACAGCACAGGCCACCGAAACCTTCATACACGCATTCATTACATCGAGGCTCGACTATGCAAACTCATTGCTTGTCGGCCTCCCCAACTCCTCCCTCCATAGGCTGCAGATCATCCGGAACTCTGTAGCCCGTGTCCTCTCCTGCACTAGGCTCTGCGACCCTATCACCCTCATCCTTGCCCAACTTCCCATCACACAGAGGATACAGTTCAATATCCTGGTCCTCACCTTCAAAGCCCTCATGGTTTTGCTCCCCCCTCCCTCTGCGACCTCCTAAACCCCTACCACCCTGCTCACTCCCTCTGCTCAGTGGGCTCTGGTCTGCTTCATGTCCCACGCCTCGCTCGCCCCACTATTGGCGGGCGGGCCATCTGCCACTCTTCACCCACCCTCTGGAACTCCATCCCGGAGTCTCTGCGCCTCGACTCCTCCCGTGCCTCCTTCAAGACCCATCTCAAGACCCTCCTCTTCGACCGTGCTTTCGATCTCCCTGCTGCCCCTCCTGCCTTCCACCCTCCCCGATCTTCAGCTTGGGTCCGAAACTCTGTCTGTCCAGCTCCTTGGGACATCCTCCCGACGTGAAAGGCGCTATACAGATGTAATTTCATTGTTGTTATAAAATATATTTATCTTTGTTTGGCAGCAAATTACAGTTCAGTACTTTCCCGCCCCCAGAGGAGTGGCGGCACCTCCTCCCTCCCATTGCCCATCCCATTGGATGGGAAGGAGACCAATTTGTGGCGGCTTTGAGGTGATTGACAGACTGAAGCCACTTGTGAATGTTTGGACTCGGCCATTGACAGGTGGCTCAGCTGTCAATCAATGACTTTGTGACTCCTCCCATTCCCTCCCTTGTTCTTCCCTGTTCCTCCACTGAATGACAGCACAACTCCAGCTGCTTGTGAATGGCTGGAGTCCACTGTCAATCACAATTTGACTCCTCCCATCTACATCTGGGAGTCCCTTGTGGCTGAAGGCTCGATACGCAGAAGGCCCGAGTGAGGGCATTCAGCAGTGACCAGAGTGGTATTTTACTGGGATTAACAGGATTTTCATCCGAATTAACAGCCATATATATGTAACTCGTGTAAGCCTAAAAAATTAAATTGCTTGAGAATTTAAGTAAACTTACTTCCGAATCTGTGAAGAAATTGTAGAGGAGGACATCATCAAACTCCAACCCTTTGGCTTCATATATGGTCAGAACAAGGGCCAGGTTAAGCTCTTCTGGTATCATCTCTTTTGCCTTTTCGTTTGCCACCAAAATGACCTACAAGATTAAAACAAGGAAAATAAGTCAGGCCTTCAATTTACCCAGAAGTCACAGTGTGAAGTGCCAATGCCTATATATCTTTGGCTTGAAATTCCTCATGGATCCAGATTCATTCTATCTACATATCATTTCAGATTATTCAGAATTTTGCAAATTCTTTAACGGTAAATTTTGAAGTTAGTTTTATTTAAGTTCTTATAAGAACTACAGAAATACCATCTCCAGACTCCGAGAGCCTAAGGCTCCCCAGAGGATAGAGTTCAAGATCCTATTCTCACATTTAAATAACTCCAGTGTTTGCTATCTCTGCAACCTCCTTCACCTTTACCAACCAAGCCATTCACTTTGCTCGGCCTATTCCAGGGCCTCTGCTCAATCCACCCCACAATTGTCAGGTTGGCTTTCAGTCACGACACCTGCTCTCTGGAACTCCACTCCCAGGTCCATCAGACTCCCTCCCTCCCTTCTTTCAAGATCTGCCTCAAAACACATCTCTTTGACTGCACTTTCAGTCAACACCCACCCCTCCTCCCGTTCTGGTGCCCAGCTGGAATTGTCGAGCATGAAAAGCAAATGTAAATTGTATTGAAATGTAAATCTAGGCCCAGGTGGAATTTCTTGCCAAGTATTTTAAAACTGATCATTTTCAAGGAATCAAGACCTTTACACAAGTTTTGCTTTTTGGTGAGAGACCAAAGGCTGCAATACACTACCAAGATTTAATAGAAGAGAATAAGAAGTGTTTACGTTGTGTGAAGCTTAGGAGGAAGGTAAGACTGAGGAGGGAAAGAACAAGTTAGGGTAGAAAGAGAGAATATTTTTTTTNCAGTAACCGAAAGTACATCAAACCAACTCAGAGAAGCACAGTAGAGTGCCCAGGAATTCTAATACAATTTCGCATTAATGAATATCACAAATTAGATCCTTATTCAGAAAATAAATGAGTAAGTTTATGTCAAAGAGAAATTGGAAGGAGAAAGCTAGAGAAGGAAAAAGCTAGAGAAGGATCAGGTATTGGACAACAAGGCCTCTCTTGGATTCTATCCAATAAATAGCTGCATGTCTGAGAGGACCTGGCCTTTTCGGCTGCTGACAGGAAATCTTGCCACGAGTGTGGACAAAGACAACTGAAGCAGAGAGAAAGGAATTTTTCATAGATAAATGGAAACCTGATGAGCTCCAAATTCTATTGGCTGGGATTTTCGTTTGTTTCCTCTCAGTAAAATAGCCAAGTCGCTGACACTGCAAGAGTCCAACAGAGAGGGTTGTGGTCCATCAAACAGGCCAGTGTCTTTGGGCAGGCGGTCAAAGGACTCAGGAAAGTAGTACTGGAGAAGGTCCACTACTCCAGAGGCCAGATTCAAAATACCTAAAATCAAACAAGAACCTTGTATCAACACAATAAAAGCAGAACCTAGTAGATTCATTACATTTCGCTTGAATTCATTACATCTTAAAAGACCAAATGGTAAATTGTAATCTTTTAATCAAGAATTCGGGCCTAATGGCCTTTCTCTTTGCTTGTAAACATGCCAAGATTTTATGAAAGGTATTTAGCAACAACAATTACAATTGTATAGCGCCTTTCATGTTGGAAGGACGTCCCAAGGTGCTGGACAGTCAAGGATTTGGAACCGAGCTAGGGGTTAGGATCCCATTAAACATTTTAAATAATTAAAAAAAAATTTAATTACATTTTTTAATTAACTGAGGGTTCTCAAGTAGCAAACTTGCTGCACACTTATACCTGCGTTGCCCTGGTCTTAAAAACAAAAATGATTTTGTAGACATTACCTGAACACTGTTTTATTAAATTTATCAAAGTAATACCTGAATGTGATCGGTAGTTTTGATGCAGTTGGTATATTCTCTTTGGTACCCTTACATTGGATTGTTGCTTGATACTGGCATAATAGAACAGGGAACGCAAGTCACTGAAGCGAAAAGCTACCCCTTTCATGATGCTTTGAGCAGTGTCCCCAGTAAGGAACATGGAATTTGGATCATTAATGCATTTCATGAGCAGGGCAAGCTCTGCCTGGGTAAAATCCTGTATCTCATCTCCATATAGTTCATGAATAGACCATGGTAGTTCATCCAACTTGGACAAACGCAGTGACAGGCTGCGTAGCAAGTCTTCCTCATCAAAACATCCTCGCTGTGATTTTATTTGCTGGTACATGAGGAAGAGACGGTGAATTTCACTTCTATCTTCTTGGAAGTTTGGGGCCCTCTTTTTTCCCAGGTTAATATACTGTTCCAATGTAAGATAACCACGAGGACTAGTTAACGCTTCAATGGAACCCTTTAGAAAAGATCTGATCTCTTTCCACACCAAAGCTGGGTTGTACTGAGGTTTGCCTTTCATCATTTTCGGCCACAGGTCATGGGCAAATACCTCATATGTCACAAAGATGCGGGAATCATGTTCTTTGCTGTGACCCTCTGCAGCTTTGTGTTCATCATCTGGAAAGTCATCCTCGTGATCATCTTCCTCGTCTTCATCTACTAAATCTGGCACCATAGTATCTTCACAAACAGACCAGCCCACAATGCTCCTCTTCAGACTACCGTCTTCATTTCGTGGGAAAAATGGGTCTGGCAGGGAGGCATCAAGTAGCAATATCAGTTGCTTCGAGGTAATGAACAGGGGGAAGTTCTCATCTTTAATGTCCTGAAGTCTGTGAACCGTAGCATCTGGTGCTTTGAAGTGGCCGGTAGCCTTGGTGGATTTGGTAAGCTCGACGAAGTTTCTTAGGACCTCCTGGCACAAGACATGATTTTTGGTAACAAAGACCTGATGTAAATTTTCCAGTTTGTCGGTTCCATCAGGATTCATTGGTGCGTCAGACTGACTAGTTATCAACTCGTGGTTATCCAGGCAAGAAAGTGCCATTCCATTACATTCTGCATTACAGCTTTCATCCTCACAGTTTATGTCTTTATCACCATCATCAAGGGGCTCTGCTCCATCATCTGCTGTTGCAGTATCTTTCTCATCATCAACCTCCTCCTCCTTCTTAGGCTTCCTTCTGTACCCAAGTTGTCGAACAAGCCAGGGCCCTCCAACCTCTTGAGCTTTTTCCCAGTAGGTCTGAAATTTTTTCCAAAGCCTGTAAAGACAGCAAGTAGTCTTCCCAGTTCCACTTCTTCCTATCAAAATGATGGTTTCTAACGGCTTAGGGACTAGGTCAATTATTGCATACTCCAGCTCTCCTACTCTGAAAGGGTATTCAGCTTTAGACTCTATATCAGTAATGATGTTTAAAGCCATGTTGGTGCTGAAGCTATGAAACTTCATGATGTTATACTCTGTCTCCACTGCACTAGCAGGTGGAAAATATTCAGGTAATAAATTCTCTTTCATTTCTTCCCAGTCAACATATTCCACAAAGAACAATGGGATCCTTTTTTGGACGCTTAAACTGGAACTAAGTGGCACTTCATTTATCACTTTAAGCTTTTTCCTGAGAATGCACGATGACCCTCTGTTATAAGCACTATGGACCATGTCCAAAGCATGGTTAAGTTTGTTGTGGTCTAGGACAATGTCCCAAATTCGAATAATCTCACTGTATACCCTTCCTGTGGTCCTCTCCGCATGGTGAGAGGACAGCTCCGTTTCAAAGATCTTCTCTGGCTTTTCACTGCAACGCGGGGAGAAATCTACTGCGAGTTCCCACAGCATTCTTCCTCCTTTGTTAAGTTTAGCTTCGAAAAGCTTGATGGGGCTTTTCAGGTGCTTGAGCGGCTTCTGAAGACTCTGAGTCCATTCTCCGTTGCCAAGTTGTTGAATTACATTTATAGTTCTTTCTTTCATCCTCTGAGGTACATCTCTGCTACGAAGTTTCTTCAGCAATCCTGCTGTACATTCAATCTCCCAGGTCATGTTGTCAAGATCCAGGTCTTGTAAGTCAGTCACGTCTGGCTCTCCCTCGTTTTGTTGGGCGCCCAAAACTGTGTCACAATTAAAATAATCTGCAGTGCTGTTCATTACTACAGTTTCTACATTTTTATTTGTTCGTCCATTTTCAATTGTTGCATGAGGCAGCAAAGGCTTTGAAAAGCTCACCTCTGTTGGCGTCTCAATCGCATTGACATGTTGTATCAATTTTGCAATTTCACACATCAGGACTTCTTCTCTCGTCAATATTTTGTTTGCTTCATTTTCCAGTTTAGAGGGAAGGGTACAATTAAGATGCTCCAAACCAACATTAGATGCTTTATCGCATGCCATGGTCTTCTGCTGAGAGGATTGCTTTCTGCTCTGGACGTTCTGCGCAAGCTTTGAAGAATGTGACTTCTGGCTCTGATCGGTTTGTTCTCTCTTCTTCCTGTTACGTGACCTAACCTTATTCCACATAAGAAGCCGAGGGTCTTGCTTTTTAATTCCATATGTAAACTCTTTCCCTCTCTTGTTCTTCATTTTGATTTTGATATCATACTTTGCTAGCAGATCCATTATTTCTTCATTATATCTTGAAGATGGTTTCTGGAATATTTTGTGTAATACAGTATTCCCTTCAACATCCTGACAGTTGGGATCAAGATACCGAAATGCAGAGGGGTCAGAACTATACGTCTTCAGCAGAAATTTCAGTATGTGCAAACCAAACTCATCTGCAGAGAGAATGAAAACAAAATTAATTTCAATTTTTTTGGGGTTAGGGTTAGGTATCAGGTGTCTGATATATGTGGAAACCCATCATCATGCTTAAGAATATCCAACCAAACAGAATTCAATCATCCCACCCACATGCAAATACAGTATATATATATATATCAACACTAGAACTCAACACTAAACTGCAAACAAATTTCACCACAACCCCTCCCACCACCAAAGAGGTGAATGAAAAGTGAAATCATTTTGCAGACTGCCGGGAGTTAAAAAGAGCTCAGCTACAGATCAACGGTTGATCTTCATTGATAGACAACAAATGACAAAGAATCTGCAGTCATTATTTGGTTTAATTAATACAATGCGAACAGACCGTCTGTTTGACCTGAATGGCTTTATGGTTTTCTGTTTTTTTTAGCAAAGTACTAAGCTTTAAGGGAAGTTAAATGATAAAATCAGATGATGAATTTTAGAAGCCATTTTAAATTATTTTACATTACTGGTACATTGCTTCTTGCAGACTGAAACTTAGATCTGCATTTTATGAGAAAGTCATTAATAAGTGGAAAACCATTAGAAAGTAGTGAAACATTCATTAGGATTAGACAACACATTTGGTTCCTGCTTATGACCTTTGTGTTCCAGAGCAATATAGATGGCAGCATGAAGAGGTGAATCTCCTGGAGTAAGAGAAATATCATGTGGATCTGCCCCATTGGCTACTAAGAGATGCACAACTTCAAAGTCCTCCTTTTCCAAAGACAGTCGGATTGGACGACTTCCATCACGAGGCAAGGCTATAAAGGCAAGAGAATATTAGATCATTAATACTGCAGGAAAAATGTTGGAAGAAACTACAAGAAGTAATAAGATACAAGTTAGAAACGTTAGAAAAAATTCTGATATCAAGTAGTTTACCTCCTCGATCTATTAAGTTCTGCAGCAAGTTCTTTCTGTTTTCATATTTGTCAAGATTAACAATGACAGTAGAAAGGTCCACATCTGAGAAGTCGCACTTCACAACAAGACCACCCTGCCCTCGACTCTTTCCATTACCTCCTCCAAGAAGCAAAAGCCAAGCTTCGTGCCATTTGTGATTATCGAGAAGCTGCTTGATCATGGTGCTTGCAACATTACTGTCAATTTCACATACAGTGACTGGGTTAATCTCTGTAAACAAAAATGGAAACACTGTTACATGGGTAGGTTATTGAATAGTGACACTGACTAAACCTAATTAGTTTTCGTATTGCAATTGAAAATCACAAATGTCTCAACATACTAAGCGTTAATCTTCTAACCCAACTATTGGTTTTAGGTATTCCTCTTTTCATAAAAATTGAAGATAGGTTTTTTAAAAAAATATGGAATCAAATATCACTCCAGCTCCACACAACTAAACAACTTTAAGTTTATCTTAATAGCAATACACATTCTTTGAACAGTAAATGCCTGATAACTTGACCCTGTTTTAACTTGTTACTACCAATTAAGTCATCATGCTGTCAATATCCTGGCCACATTTAATTATATGTTTATACCTATTCCCAACTCGCCACTCTGGATAACTCGTCACAGAGCCCTTTTCCTTGGAGTGGCGAGTTATGTGCAAATACAAGTTGTTGGGAGAAAACGGTATCAATATAAAATCTTAGGGTTATGATAAAACAGATTTTTCTCTTTTGTATTAATCCATATCTTTGACAGTGAATTATGAATAGTCAGCAGGATGTTGAAGGAAGTACCAATATAGCACTCTCAGATGGTACATGTTGGAATAATCGGTTATATGAGAGGTTGTCAATAATGAATCAGAACGATGGTCAGATAAAATCTCAAGAGAGGCAATTAGAAGAAATAGAGAAACACTAGCTGGGGTAACAGACAGATATGTGCTGAAAACCTGCATACGTTGGCAAAAGGAGGGAAAACTGAAGAAAACAAGGTAATCTTGGTTTAATAATAATTTGGTACTTCTATAGGTCTTGCATTTTTTAAAGATAATCCTTACATTTGATATAGCACCTCATCACGTTGTTGAGACATCTCAAAGCGCTTCACAGGATTTACTATAAAGTGGATTGACTGTATTTTGTGAATGAAACGCCGCAGGCAGTTTTCTGAGGGTAATAATCCTTTCAAAAAAAATAATAATTTGGTCACTCAATCCACAACTGTTAGTGGGACACTGTTGTGAGCAATTGGCTTCCCTGTTTCGCCCACAAAATATACAGTCAATTCACTTTACAGTAAATTCTATGAAGCCCCTTGAGACGTCTTGAAGACCTGATAAGGCACTATATCAAACGCAAGGATTATTACATAAGAACATAAGAAATGGTAGATGAAAAAAAAGACTAAGGTCCACCTAGTTCTCCTTCCACCTTCCTGGTGGTCGCATGCACATATGTCCCAACCTACCTATTTACTGTATCCCATGTTATTTCCCAAAATAAATATTTCCTAATCTGCGTTTGAAGGAATCAACATTTCTGCTTCAACCGTCTCCCTAGAGAGCCTGTTCCACAGGTTTACTATTCACTCACTGAATTAGTCTGTCCGTACATTAGTTCTGAATTTACTCCCCTTCAATCGCAGGCTGTGTCCTCTGGTTTTACTATTCTGGATTAGTTGAAACAGTTTCATGATCTACATTGTCTAGTCCTTTTAGAATCTTAAAGACAGCAATCATACCTCCTCTCAATCTTCTCTTTTCCAGGGTGAGCATGCCTAATTTACTGAGTCGCCCCTCATAGTCCAGTCTCTCCATTCCCTCAATCATTCTGGTTGCCCTCGTCTGTATTCTCTCGATTTCTCCCATAGTCTTTTTGTACTGCGGCGACCAGGACTGTATTCTAATTACGGTCTCACCAATGATTTATACAGTGGCAGGATTACCCCACTATTTTGGCTTGCTATTGATCTTCTGAGACATCCTAACATCTGGTTTGTTTTATTCACTGCCATAGACCATTGTTGCGAGAGCTTCAATTTATGGTCAATCAAGATCCCCAGGTCTTTTTATTTTCTATACCTATTATTTTCTTTCCATTCAAATAACAGGCCCTTCCTGGATTTTTTGTCCCCACGTGAAGTACTTTACATTTCTCTACATTGAATTTCATCTGCCCAATTCCCAAGTATGTTCAAATCCTGCTGTAACCTATTCTGTTTGGCTTTGCAATCTACCGTCTTCATTAGCTTGTGTCATCTGCAAACGTAGCCACTGTGCTTTATGACTCCTAGTTCCTAATCATTTATAAAAATATTAAACAAAAGAGGTCCCAAAAAAAGACCCTTGTGGACTCCATTGGTAACATCTTCCTAGTCTGATGACATTCCCTGTACCACCATTCTCTGGGTTCTTCCGTCAACCAGTTTGTGCATAGCAATGACCTGCAAACAGACTATGGAGTGAGTAACTAATTTTATTTGGGGGATTGTTGGTCAGGACACCATCACCAGTTCCATCGTCAAATCATTTCAAAATGTTCCTTTTAAAATATTCAGTTACAATTACTTTTTTTTTTAAATTACAGTCCAGCGCCCCCCCCCAGCCAAAAGAAAACACCAGAGGGCAGACCCACCAGCTGACGCAGCACTGAGGTGTGCAGCACACAAGTTCACAGGTTTGATTTTTGGACAAGCCTGTGTTAGTGGATGTCAGTTTTGGGCAATATTCTCCTCGGCATCTCTGGGTTAGGGAATGGGAAAAAAATCAGTGTTCCCATAATCAAAGAAAGATAGTCTTACTCTTCGCTGCTTCAATTGATGTTGGTCTTTTTATGAGCTGCAGAAAAAACACGTTTTCCAAATTAAAGATAACATTTTAAGAATTTTCGCAATTCTGCATCATCTTCAATTTTAAAACAAAAAGGCTAAGGACATCTCAAAGCACTTCACAGGATTTTACTGTAAACATGTAGTGACTGCATATTTGTAGGCAAATATGACAGGCAATTTGAGCACAATAATGTATAGCCATGAAGTGAATCACCAATTTTATTTGGAGGATTGTTGGCCAGGATTTCCCTGCAGAATATAGTTAAATATTGTGAGTAATGCCATTTCAAGTACTTTTTCAGCACCGTTGCTTGTTATTAGATAACCTGACCAACCTGTGAATGTGGACAACTGTTGTAGAAACATCTGGACTTCTCTTTGGGATAATAAGTTCCTGCAGGCTTTCTTGGTTGCTGATCTGCAAAACTGCACAAAACAAGCCGTAGCCTCTTCAAATGTGACAGCTGCACACCCCCTGCTGTTTGCCTCCATCTGATTCATTCCTTCTGTAAATTAGTTTTATATACGTTAAGAGCTTTCAACTAATTTTGCTGTAGAAGGAGGAGATAGCCGTTATTAGCAACCCTTTCTTTACCTGCCGACTCACTGGCTGTGGCTGAAATTGTTTCAGAGTGCTTGTTGATTACATCAATTGCTTTGAAGTTCTTACATTTCTTCAGATAATCAGTTGGAAGCTTGGTTAGTTTATCAGGAATTTGGGGATCTACTCCTAACTGCAGGAGAAAGCGAACATCTTCAGTCTGACCTACAATGAAACAAAAAAAATTGGAGGAAAATTATTACATTACCTGAATTTTGAAAAATAAGTGAATCATTTGACAGTAAAAGGGATAATGATAATAATTCTTGCATTTTATAGAACACCTTTCATGTCAGGAGGACATCTCAAGGCACTTTATAGGAATTACTGTTTGGTGATTTTTAACATCCATTGTCTATTCAGACAGATGGGACCACAGTTTAACATCTTATCCAAAAGATCGTACTTCCAACCATGCAGAGCATCCTCAGCAGTACACTGGAGTCAGTTTGGACTGAGTTCCAGGTCCCAATGTGGAGCTTGAACCCACAACTTTCCAACTTAGGCGAGAGTGCGTGCTACTAACTGAGCCAGGAAGATTACTGATTCCTGAATTTGATACAGTGCCTTTTCACATCAGCAACACATATCAAAGCTCTTCATAGGATATACAGTAAAGTGGATTGACTGTATTTTGTGGGGAAAATGCGGCAGCCAGCTTGCCCACAGCGATGTCCCACAAACAGCCATGGAGTGAGTGACCAATTTTATTTGGGGGATTTGTTGGCCAGGACATCAGGAGAGAGAAACTCCCTTCTCTTTTCGAGTAGCGCCTTTAACATCCACCTGAAGAGGCATACAGGACTTCGGTTTAATGGCTCATCTGAAGGACAAACAATGCAGCCCACCCCGAGCACTGCATTGGGAGTGTCAGCTTAGATGGGGTGATTTGAACAACAACAACAACAAGATTCCATTTATAAAGCGCCTTTCACGTCAGGAGGACGTCCCAAGGCGCTGCACAGTTGGGTCAGGACCCGAGCAGGGGGAAATGGTCAGGGTGAGGGTAGGGAAGGGAGGGAGCGAGGAGGGGGAAGAGAGTCGAGAGGGGAGCTGAAGGCTCGGTCAAAGAGAAAGGTTTTGAGACCGGCCTTGAAGGAGGAGAGGGAGGAAGCGGCGAAGGCACTGGGGGATAGAGTTCCAGAGCCTGGGGGCTGAGAGGCTGAAGGCCCGACCACCGATGGTAGGGCGATTGGGGCGGGGGACGTGGAGCAGACCGGAGCCGGAGGAACGGAGGGTACGGGCAGGTAGGTAGGGGGATAGTAGGTCAGAGAGGTAGGAGGGAGCAAGGCCGTGAATGGCCTTGTAGGTGAGGATGAGGATCTTGAAATCAATCCTCTGGGGGATGGGGAGCCAGTGGAGGCGAGCGAGGGTGGGAGTGATGTGGTCGCGAAGCCTGGTGCGGGACAGTACACGAGCTGCAGAGTTCTGAATGACCTGCAGCTTGTGGAGGGAGGTGGCGGGAAGGCCGGCGAGGAGAGAGTTCCCATAGTCCAGCCTTGAGGTGACAAAGGCGTGGACCAGGGTTTCAGCAGCGTGAGGGGTGAGGTAGTGCCGTAGTCTGGCGATGTTCCGGAGGTGATGGAAGGCGGTGCCAGTTGTGGTGCGGATGTGAGGGAGAAAGGACAGCTCAGGGTCGAACAAAACGCCGAGGTTCCTGACTGGCTTTGAGAGGTGGAGAGTGCAGCCTTGGATGCTGATGGTGTCAGCGCCTGAGGTGCGGAGGCGCTGACGTGAGCCAATCAGGAGGGCCTCGGTTTTTCGCACGTTGAGCTGAAGAAAGTTGTCTCTCGTCCAGGACTCGATGTCGGACAGGCAGCTGTCAGGACATCGGTGGTCGTGGAGTTGAGAGTAGAGGAGGAAAGGTAGAGTTGGGTGTCATCCGCATACATGTGGAAGTTAACCCATGTCTGCGGATGATGTCACCGAGGGGAGCATATAGAGGGTGAAGAGGAGGGGACCGAGGACAGAGCCCTGAGGGACACCACATGAGACAGTGCGGGGGGTGGAGGAGAAGCCATTTGTGAGACAAAGTGAAGACGGTGAGAAAGGTACGACCTAAACCACTCAAGGACAGTGCCTTGAAGGTTGAGGTGGGAGGACAAGCGGTGGAGTAGGATAGCGTGGTCGACCGTATCGAATGCTGCCGATAGGTCGAGGAGGACGAGGAGGCAGAGGGAGCCCTGGTCACAGATGGTCAGGATATCATTGGTGACCTTGACCAGGGCAGTTTCTGTGCTATGGGCAGCACGGAAACCTGACTGAAGGGGTTCGAAGAGTGAATGGGTGGAAAGGAAAGAGCGCAGTTGGGAGGCGACAACTCTTTCCAGGACCTTGGAGAGAAAGGGGAGGTTGGAGATGGGCCGGTAGCTTGATAGCTGCGACGCATCAAGGGAGGGTTTTTTCAGGGTGGGCGTGATGGTGGCAGTTTTTAAGGGAATGGGGACAGAGCCAGAGGAGAGGGACAGGTTGATGATGTCGGTGATATGTGGGGCAAGAAAGTGGAGCTGGGAGATAAGGAGTGGAGTGGGGATGGGGTCAAGGGAGCAGGTGGTTGGTTTTAGGGATAGGATGAGTTCAGTGACAGAGGGTGGGGAAACGGGTACGAAGGTGTGTAGGGGAGGATGGGTAGGAGTCGGTGTGTCGGAGGGAGGGGGTGGGGTGTGGGTGGATGTTGGAGGGGAAGTGACCGCGGAGCGAATTCCCTTGATCTTGGATTCAAGGAAATCCAGCATCTCCTCGCAGTGAAGGTTGGAGGAGATGACCTGCGCGGGGTGGCGGGGGGGACGGAGGAGTCGGGTTGTGGTGGAAAACAGTAGCCTGGGGTTGTTCTTCGCCTCCAGGATTATCCTGGAGTAGAAGGACGACTTGGCCGAGGCTAGAGTGGAGCGGTAAATTTTGAGGAGGTCCAGCCAGATTTGTCGGTGGACCGTTAGGCCAGATTTGACACAGGTGCGTTCAGCAGCCCGCACCTGGCTTTCAGTGAGCGGAGGTGGGTGGTGTACCAGGGGGAGGAGCGGGAGTAGGAGACAGTGCGGGAAGTGATGGGGGCAAGAGTATCGAGTGTGGAGGAGAGGGTATTGTGGAGGAGGGAGAGAGGAGAAGAGGGGTCGGTGAGGGTTGAAGGCCAGAGGGAGAGGAGTTCAGAGGACTCCAAGGCATCGGTTAGGGATTGTGGGGGTAACTTCTTCCAAGGGCGGTAGAAGATGGTGGTGGGTCTGGTGGAGGTGGGGAGGGGGGTGGAGGTGGTGAAGGAGATGAAGTGGTGGTCAGAGATGGCCTTGTCGGTAATAGTGACATCCGAGACACTGAGGCCCCGGGTGATCACCAAATCGAGTGGGTGGCCGTGACTGTGAGTGGGGGAGTTTATGTGTAAGGAGAGGTTGAGTGAGGAGAGCAGGGAAGAGAAGTCTGTGGAGATGGAGCAGGAGGGGTGAAGTGTAGGTTAAAGTCGCCCAGGATGATGAGGCGATCAGAGCAGAGGCAAAGAGATGTGAGGAGTGTTGAAATATCAGAGATGAAGGTGGGAGAGGTTTTAGGGGGCCGGTAGAGGAGGAGGATTTTAAGGGAGAGGAATGAGGGGCTTGAACCCACAATGTTCTGACTCTGAGGCAAGAGCGCTACTGATTGTAAGGGTTAATTAAATTCAAGACCCCGAGGTGAAGTAAGGACCAACACAAATTCTTCAATCAAATGATTCACGTTTTTAACAATTGTTTTGCAAATTCAATATCAACCTTCTTTCCCTACTTTTCTTCCAAGTCAGACTGACAAACAAATGACACACCCAACAATAAACTAAAATAACAGAATCAGATACAAATAATCCAAACATAATCCAGAAACATCTAAATCCAACAAAAATGAATTTTGAAAGCCAAGTCATGGCTACTTGTGCCGTGGCAACAATTATGCAGGTATCAATTATTCAACCCATTATATTGCAGAGACTTTTGTGCAAAACCAACTTTTGTGCAGTTGGGATTCATGGAAAATCAATGTGTCAGTTTGCTCAAATTGTCTCATGTTTCTGTCTACCTAATAGCTTTTTACTTTGACATGATCCATGTAGAAATTCATTGAGAAATTATCTTTTTAATTATCTATTCTGATCTGATCTTTCATATCATTGCTGCTAAAGCTTTTACTTACAAGCATACTCATATCCACTAGATATGGGATAGGAAGCGACCACGTTTAAAAGGGAAGCGCCATTTTCATCCGTTTGGTTAATGTTCTGCCTTAGTTGTGGTCTTTGGGTAATAATAAACTTAAGAAGTTTTCTGTCATCTAAAATATAAGAAAAAGTGTTTGAGTGAAACGTAGCAATAGAACACCAATCAACAACACAATGTATCAATTTAAAACTAGATTAGACAGAACAAAACCAGAGTTATGTTTGCTGAAAGCCAAGTATTGAAGCAGTTAAGACCATTTCTGCAACCCAAGAAGTAGCAGTTTACAAATAATAGCTTAAAACCTGCAGGCAACATTTATTTCACTATTTGCTGAGGTTTCCAGGCTGCAACTGAAGAAGTTTTCTAGACGACAAAGCAGTTAATTAACTGGTGGTATTGAACATCAATGGTAAAGTATTCACTAGAAGTGCATAAGGAAGATTGAGACAAAATAGGAAACAGATCTTTTGATAAGTAAAAATCATCACTGGGCGCGATACAAAAGCTATACAAACCAGAAGTTACCAGATTTCACCCAGAGGTAGCAATTGGTTGCTACAATTGACTTTTGTCCCCCTGGGTTAGGGAGAGAAAAAACAGCTAGAATTCTCAATGCTGATCACCATCCACGTCCTCTGTTAGGAAGTCTGCTCAATAGACCACTGACCTTCACTGGCCTGGCTGTCTGATCTCACACATAAATAATGCTGTTGGGCAAAGTACTCGAGGACCGCTGATACTCATGGAATATAACCTGGGCCAATAGAAATGTGCGGTCGCAGTTTTTCTGCAGAATCTGCAATAAACACCACCCTCCCCTAAAAGCCTTTACTCGACGACGTTACTGTGGGCGGAGCGGCTCCGGGTGCGAGTGGGAAATGGGCTTCACTCACCCCGGGGCCCTGCTTGTGTGTCTGTCTCTCCACTGTATGTAGGTCTGTATGAGGGGTGGGTCTGCCTCCGGGGGCAAGGGGGGAGGGTATGTGCGCGTCTCGCTCTGTGTGTCGGTGTGTGCGCGTCTCTCTCTGTGTGTCGGTGTGTGCGCGTCTCTCTCTGTGTGTCGGTGTTTGCGCGTCTCTCTCTGTGTGTCGGTGTGTGCGCGTCTCTCTCTGTGTCTGTCTGTCTCTCTCTCTCTCTGTGTGTCTGTCTCTCTCTCTTTGTCCATGTGTGCGTGCTTCTCTCTGTCTGCGTGTGCGTCCCTCTGCGTCTGTGTCCACGTCTCTCTTTCTGTGTCTGCCCACCCGCCCCCGTGTCTGCGCGTCTCTCTCTCTCACTCTCTGAGACACAGAGTGAGACACAGAGAGTGAGACACAGAGAGTGAGACACAAACTCCCTGTGTCTCACTCCCTGTATCTGTGTGCAGTGGTGGTGGTCTCGAGAGGCAGGAGGTGGTGACCTCCTATAGCCCCGTTGTCAGGACACTGGCAAGCTTGGTGAGCAATGCAGGTTTTTGGCAGATCTCCAGACCTTCAAATGTAGTGCGGGGTGGAAACTGGTGTGCCCTCCCTGAGTGGGCCACCCAGTATTTATAAAAGAAAGCATTAATATTGTTCTTTGCAACAATCTAATATGTGTTGTTTCTTCATGTTTAGTTTTTAATCAATAAAATGAAAAAAATGTAGGTTAGCAGTAAAATGTACCTCAAAAGCACCAAATGCCTGCAATTTTCCAAATAATTTTAATTTCCAGCACTTTTTAAGCAAATATTTCCTCAGTTCTCTATTGGCTGTGAATATAACCTAGCAGAAACAGTGCCTTCCAGAGGAGAATAATAATAGTATTTGATATAGGGTTATCATGTCGTTGAGACGTCTCAAAGCGCTTCAGAGTATACTGTAAAGTGAATTGTGGAATTGTGGAGTCCTGTAGCTCAGTAGTTAGAGCACTCGCTTTGCAAGCGAGAGATCTGAGGTCATTTCCAGGCAGGTCAGGGCGAAACCTTGGGCAAGTTTCCTTACTCCACACGCCTAATAATAATCCCTTCAAAAAAAACAATAATTGGTCATTTTCAATCCATGACTGTTTGTGGGACATTGCTGTGCGCAATTGGATGCCGCGTTCGCCCACAAATATACAGTCAATTCACTTTACAGTGTGTTCTGTGAAGTGCTTTGGGACGTCCTCCCGACGTGAAAAGCGCTATATCAAATAATAATAATAATAATAATAATCCTTGCATTTGATATAGCGCTTTTCACGTCGGGAGTACGTCCCAAAGCGCTTCACAGAACACACTGTAAAGTGAATTGACTGTATATTTGTGGGCGAACGCGGCAGCCAATTGCGCACAGCAGTGTCCCACAAACAGTCATGGATTGAGTGACCAAATTATTATTTATTTATTATTAAAGGGATTATTATCCGCGTAAAAGTGATCCGTCAATCAACAAGTAACTGGGTTCCTACTTACTGCTCGGTAAACAGAAGCGCGTTGAGTAAGGAAACTTGTCAAATGTTTTCCCCCTGCCCGGGAATCAAACCCGGGTCCTCTCGCTTGCAAGTCGAGTGCTCTAACCAATATGTTAAGTGAAGAAGTATTGAATAATGGAAAGCCTACATTTAAAAAAATATTTGAAACAAGCACTACTTACAAGCCTTTAGAGCAAGTCTGAGGATGGCATGAAGAGGGTATGGTCCAATACTATCAAGATTTGCTTCATGAATCACTAACATACGAAACAGTTTTGTTACCAAAGTAATCCTGGAGATTGGTCTGAGACTCGGATACCACTGTGAAATTAGAAAATACAATTAAAAATCAAATAAAGAGAAAAGCAAATCTTTAGAAAGAGAAGCATGAGGGATTTTAACTGCATAAAAGAAATTAACAAAATACTTGAAATGAATTACAACAAATGTTTAGCTACAACTTTGACTTAATAAGGAATTGCTAAGATGCTTGAAGACTCAGTACAGTGAATGAACAATGCAAAACCAATTAAACTACAACATTTAGAAGTTTACAGTGTGATCTATTAAAATTTCAAATGCTTCATTACAGGGCAAAAGAAATCCCACAAAGGGCAAGGAGGGGTGAAGGATGCTTGTAGCACCTTGAAGAGGAAATCAGATTTATTCAATAAAGAAACTGACTGAACGGGACCAGACAGAGAGTGACAAATTTCTTTTTCCCACATTGAAGACCTGCCAGATGGGCCAACCCAATGGCTTTTCGCAATCCTGCAAAACTTCCAATCTTGGATTGCAAGTGGCACTTCAACCAAGGTCTAGTAAGAGCCAACTTTTGTGAGCAAAACATGTGGTTTCTAGATTTTTGTCAACAGCTCTCTGGCAACGTTATACGCTGCATATATCCCTTTTTAAACACTGTACTTGTATTGTAATTTGCACAATTCTATTTCCAAAACCCATACCTCAAATAGTTCCTTGAGCGAAATCGAAGCGGCGCTGTAGTTTTCAGGAATATACTTCAACTCACAAAGCACAAAATAAATAGCCTAGGAAGTATACAATAAAACAGGTCAATATGCTGATCAGTTTCCTGGAAACTCCAAATATAATGACTGCATTTCTACGGTTAATGAGATTTTATTTTTAATAGCTCTTTGATGGCATTGCAGTGGAAATTGTCAATGGTCAAAGAAGGAATAGGCAATTGAGGTAGGAAGTTCCAGAAGTTCAGGGCAAAGCAGCTGAACGTATGTATGGCTGTCGATAATGATGCGAAGTGGTTGAACGTATTTATCAAAGGGAGTGACATTAATCCTGGGAAATATAATCAATTTGACAAGGGCAACAATCAATATACTCTCCCCTCAACACCACTTCAAAACATCCTCCCCCTCCACTGTGAATTTCCATTTCCCATTCTGTGGTCTTGCAGTGAGATTCCTTATTTGGTGCTGAATCACAGGCAGCTATGAACCTATGTCTACTAGGAACTGGAACAAAACTCAAACTGATTTTTATATAAAAATTCTTATAGGCAGCAGTTGGGAGTGTTCAAACCGATTTGTCTGGATATTATTTAAATATGTCAAAAGACCATTCCACTGCACCACTTGATCCCCATTTAACCCCAGTCACGCTCCATATCTTCATCAGCATGTAATGTTTTGATACGACTAAAGAATATTACATACAATACAAAATGATGAATTCTAGTCCATGATGATAATAAGATTCAGAGTACAAATTGCTTTAGCTTTACTCCCATGACTTATGATTCACTTCAGAACTTATTCAAACACATTCCCGGACACATCTATTGTCTACCCATCAAACTATGTGCATAAACATAAACATAAACATAAACATCAATACATATTGAATAATTGTGTTTACCTTCCACAAGTTTTTCTTTGCTGCTTTTTCAAGAGCAACTTGCCAAATGTGGCTTCTGTATCGTTTGCTCAACACATGATTCATATATATTCTAACCACCGGAGAGCCACTTTCTATGAAATAAGGATAGCAGTTAAAACATTTCCTTAACTAAAGAACCCAAAATTTTAAGGTTTCTGCAGGCAGACAATTATTATTGTAAAATACAGACCACACAAACTCATTAAATCAAAGTAAAGTTCTGGTTTCGAAGAACTCGTTTTCAAAGTTTCAAAGTTCTAATTGCTATTATTTTAGTTTTAGTAAGGTCATTTGAAGAGTAGTTTTTCTGCCAGCATTTTCAGAGAAACAGCGTCTCATCATCCAAGCTCCCGCAGCATGCGCATTAAGTACAAGGCATCTAACTGGAGGCGTCAACTTAAATGACCCAGAGACACAAACACAGAGGGAAAAGTGAGCAACAAAAGCCATCAGAACAATTATCAAAAAGTAATAATTAATTTCTTAGGTGTGTGTTTAGCAAAATCAACATGTCTAAGCTCACATTCCAAAATCATGATGGTATGAAATAGAAGCATAGAAACAAGAATAGGCCATTCAGCCCCTCGAGCCTGTTCCATCATTCTATAAGATCATGGCTAACCTGTACCTCATATTCAATTATCGACCCTTGCCCCGTATCCCTTAATAACATGACCTAACAAATATCTATCCACCTCAGTCTTGAAGATGTGAATGCATCCAGCATCCACAGCCTTTTGGGGGAGAGAGTTCCAGATTTCAATACTTGTTACTAAGCAGTGTTGCTAAGCAGTTTTAAGTGCCAGTGCAGAATATCCCAAATTGTAACTCGACACACTGCTTTTGCCAGACCCTTTGATTGAGATTGCCTGAACATTCACACCACCTTGTATTTATACTGTAGGGAGTGAGCACTATGTTTCAAATTAAGTGAAAGTTATAACTTAACACAACTAATACCAATAAAATTGCTTACAAATCTTATTTTTTATGTGTTCCCCATGAATATCCATGTATGTGATATTTATCAGAAGACAAGATTTTTAGGAATAGAATCTTACTCAAAAATTTGTTGAGCAAATGCTCTAATGCCACTTTACACTATATTTGACTCACTTTTACCTCTTTATATCAAACAAGAGATTTTGTTCTTTAAAAAAGTTAAGCCCATTAACAGGCAAGAATAACTTGTAACGTTCCACTCACCAGCCACAGTCAGGAACCCTACTATAAAATCTGTAATGTCATTCCAATACTGTTCTCTGTCATAGTCCAAGATGTTCAATCCTTGACAAATAAACTCCCAAGCTGACTGCTCATTTCCTAACCTGAATATAGCAATGCCAGCCCAGTAGTATCCCTGCATCAGAAATAGGAATCATGTCAGATTATTATGGCACCCTTCACATAGGACAATATATTGAAGTGCTTAAGAATGACGATGGCGAATGCCAAGCGGAGGGGAGATGAAGGGGGAAGGAGGAGGTAGGTTTTGAGGTGAGATGTAAAGACTGATAGAGCGGGGAAAAGACAGGGTGGCAGGAGGGAGCTTCAGAGGTTAGGAGTTAATCCTTACTAATAATTGACTCTTTGAAAATAATTATGAATCAAATTAAGCGTCATCCAAGGATGCACACTTCACCTTACTAAGCCAGGCCGGAACCTCTGCGTCTTGTTTGACCCTCAATGGTCCTTTCTACCCTACATCCGTCTCATGACCCGCTCTGCCTTCCCCCACCTCTATAACATCACCCGGCTCCGCCACTGTCTCATACCACAGGCCATCGAAACCCTTGTACAGGCATTCATTACATCGAGGCTCGACTATGCAAACTCCTTGCTTGTTAGCCTTCCCCAACTCCTCCCTCCATAAACTGCAGATCATCCAGAACTCAGTGTCCTCTCCTGCACTGGGCTCTGCAATCCAATCACCCCCATCCTTGCCCAACTCCACTGGCTTCCCATCACACAGAGGATGCAGTTCAAGATCCAGGTCCTCACCTTCAAAGCCCTCCGTGACCTCCCAACATGAAAGGCGCTACACAAAACTAATTTTGTTGTTGTTGTAGAGTCACATTTAAAGTGGTAAATCTCTAACTTTAATAAGTATAAAAATACACACTCACCTTGATGTACATAGGGTCCATGGAAATAGCGTAATTTGCACAGTGAAAAGCATCTTGCCATCTTTGCAGCTTACACAAGGCATTTGACTTGTTGCAAAACAACACAGCCAATTCACTGTAAATAAAATTTTAAATTTTCTTTAGGCAGAGGATAATCAACAACTGGAACAGGACAGGTCAATGAACTCATTTAAAAACTTGCTTGATGCTGTAATTGGGGGGGGGGGGGGGGGCGATAGGCAATAGGCGAGGTGATCTGGAGGGAGGCGATCCAGTGAGCTGAAGGAACTTGGACATCCAGGCCACCCCAGCTCAACTCCCAGGCAGTTGAGTGAAGCACATTGACATGAAAGGTGCTATATAAATCTTGCATCCATTGTTTTATTCAGGGAGCTCATATGTTTCTCTGGGGTAGATGATAATCCCAAACACCATTTCTACAGTTCAGCACACAGTAGGGATAGATGCGTCACAGGGTAAAACTTAAACACATCAGAACAACTCCACATCTCTGTGCTCAAATTCCTACCTATATGGCTGGACTATCTCGTAGAAGCTTGTGATTGTAGTTTCCATTGCTCATAACACTACTCACCGTGTCTTTAGACTGAGACAAAACAACCCATTCCTCACTCTTGGAGCAAGGTCACAGTATTCAGCTGAAATCACTTAATTCAACACAGAGCATGAATTTAACCTGGAATTCACTACCTGCACAGTTAGAGATGCTGCTGTTTGCTTGGCAACAAAATCATAGAATGCCTTACACTAGGTGGGGTGGAGAGGAGGGAGGACAGGCAGTCCCAACAACGTAATGGATAGAATTACATCTTACAGAGAAGGAGCTTATTGTTAAGAATCCTAGCCCTTGTTGAGTTTTCTGGTCTAAGGCAAGATAACTTGGCTCTAGCCTTCCCTGGGGTAGGGAGGGGGAAAATAACAGCCAGGGTTTCTGTTCTGGGTCCCTTTGACTTCTCTCCTGGTGGCCACATATGGGCAGTACCAGCTGGTACTGCTGGTACTGCCCATATGTGTCAACCAGGAGAGAAGTCAGGCTTGGTTGTGAAGCCCTCTTCAGTTGAGTGCCCCCCCACAACACACACACACACACACATAAAGTGCTTTACACATGAACAATAGCCATTTGGGCGAGATATCAGAGGGCAACCAGAGCCTGTGGAACTGCACCAAAGCAAATGGAGGCCAGGATCAAGAACAGAGAGGCACATGCCAACAGGGAGGAAAAATTAGAAAATAATTAAACTCATTAAACTGTGTATACATATGTATATATAAAATCTTTTAAAAAGCCTTCGACTGGGGCACAGAATATGCACAAATTACATTAAAGACAGAACTGTAAATGGAGGTAAAAGCAGATAATGTATTCTTTATTAATTGACAATTGTACAAAGGACTCTGAAAGGAAAAACAAAGCACTGAAATCCAGATTTTTTTTTACCTTCCATGATTGAAAAAATGGTGCAGGATCTTTATTGCCTGGTCATACTTCTGGATGGCAACTGTGTAGTGATGTTGCTTAAATGCTTCGTTTCCTTCTTCTTTTAAATGATCCGCAAATTGCAGCGGATCCATTCCTCAAATCTAGAAAAATCAGAACAATTTAAATTGCATTGATGTGCCCATGCCATATTTGTCCCTATTCAAAATGAACACACACAAAANTTATAAAAATCTCGAACAGATGCTGAGAGGCAAATCTGGATTCATCTCAGCCCACTTCTCTTTTTAGGGAGGTGGTTTCTCCAACAACAATAAACAACAAAATAATATTTATATAGCACCTTTCACGTCGGGAGGATGTCCTAAGGTGCCAGGCAGTTAAGAATACAGGAACCATCTGAGGTAGCTCAATCGATTGAGCACTTGACTTGGGACCAGAATGATTCAGAGTTGAAGCCATTCACATTTTTGAGTTTAATAAAATGAATAAATCAAAGCTAAGAATATTCTCCTTGGAGATGGGAGGTAAGTAGGATCTTCGTGGGGCTGAACCGATTCTGGAGAGGCTCACCTAGCGAAGCCACACAGGTACACAGTAAATCCAAGGCACTGATTGTTGGACCAGTTAATAATTTCCCTCCTCCACCCACTCCCACATTTCCAAACTTTCCCTCTGTTCATTGCTACATTCCAGATATCTCCTTTATTTCCAAGAGCCACCCTGGAAATTTCCAAGTATCCTGTCACAGGGAATGACAGCATTACAGAGCAGAGGAACATTTAACAAATGGGCAGGAAGGCAGCTGAAGCTTCAAATCAGGCTATGGGGGTGGGGAAAAGATTTTTTGGGGGGTAACCGTCTATCCGACACATGCAGAAACTCATCACCACGCTTAAGAGCATCCAGACCAGACAGAGTTCCACATATGTATGCTACCTATGCATGGAAATTTCTGGAATGGAATACACTCTCGCTCCCAGAGGGATATGCTCTGTTTATCTAATTCCAGAGAGTATAAGGCAGAGATTGGCAAAAGGTATCCCAGAGTGTGCACTGGGAAATTGCTGGTGCTTACCCAGCTGACGCCGCATGGCTTGTCATCGATATCACTGTCTGGCAAGCTTTCCCACTGCTTGTCCAGCTAGGATCAGCCTCAACTGTTAGGGCTTCGGCTTGCAGAGTTAACAAGAACCAAGTTAGAAGAATCCCTGTCCCCAGTGACTAATCTGCCACCTCCTAGGTCTGCTAGTCAGCCAGGCTGGCTGATCGGATATCAACAGTCCCCTGGAGTGCTGTGTACCTACCTAGCTCATGAACCTGGACTCCAAGTAATGCCTCCCAGCAGTGGTCATCCCCAAGTGTACAACCTCCCAGCAGTTGTCATCCCAAGCCTCAGAATTTCCTCATCAGCAATTTGATGGTCATCTGCTTTAGCTTGGTGGGAAGACCTTAACAGAACAGCGTGTAATGTGCCTCACATGAGGGGCTTTGGCAAATAGACGCACCCACTGTAAAGCTAATTCTTTCTTCAGGGTGCTCAGCAACAGGTCAAAGTAGGTCAGAGCCCTCCCTTTCTGCAGCCGCTTCCCTTTTTAGTATAAATCTATCTTACTGCTTTATCCCGGACTTCACAAATGGACCGGAGGAAACCCTTCTCTCTGCTGCATGCCAAGGAGCTGGGAACTATGAGGAGAACTGCTTGGATATGTGTTGTATGGCACAACTTTAATGTGCATTAGGACATTGCTGATTTTGAAGGGACACAAGAACGCCCCTTCTCAGAGCCCCATTTGTCCCTCAGACAATGCCCAAGTAAAAGTTGGTATCACTACAACCCCCAGACACCAATAAGAATCAACAATTGGGAGGATACTCCTTGTATCTTCCAATGAATATCTTCACGATCTCCTCTTAAGCTGTCCAGATAATTGGGAATACCCTCTATCGTATCCTATTGAGTGGTCCAATGTTCAAAATGAACAATGCAGCACACGAGATCCCCAGATAAATCCGCCAACAGGAAAAGATCACACCAGGGGAAGGAAAAGGGGTTGGATTACATATCAGACGCTTATAAAACACCAACACTGTAAGTCATTCTTCAGGAGTGGCTGAATTTGGTACACTCTGAGAACAAACTATTATCTAGAGATTGCCTAATGTCGGTATCTGTATCACAGTCATGTAAACCTTTTGCTCTCTGACCTTTGATCTTCCTGGAGTGTGAACGTCGCACATTAATGGATGCATTTGTTGATCCCCCCCTCCTATGCACACGTACACACACACACTCACACTCAGCCTACCCCATAGTTATTATCCCATCTCTCTCGCCTTCTCGAGGTCCTTTCCTCACTCTTCGTCCACTCTCTTTTCCACTTCCTCCATCTTCCAGCTCCTCCAAACAATTTCTCCTTTAATACCTTTCCCCCTCGCTTGGTAGATTCCTGTGGTCACTTTGCCCTCCTCTCTGCCAGTCTCAGTCCATCACCTAACCCTGACAGCTTTCTCTTTTACTCCCTTCACCATGTTTTCTTCCCTCTATCCCAGATTTGTTCCTCGGGCTCCTCTATCTGAAAACCACGCACCAATTCATTTTGGGCCTTCCATCTCTATCCCAACCAACTCTCACTCTGCATCCATCACTTCTTAGTTTCCACTTTTCACGGAAGAATATATAAAATGCGGAGAAGGCTCTTCCCTCTTCACGGCTCTTTTACATCATCTGTTTGGCCTCTCGCGAAGTATTTCACACTGAGTCAAAAGAGCCAACATTTTCTATCACTGGTCAGTAACGATAACACAAAATCTAAAAATAACAATGTCTCGGGCCACTATGACAAAGTTACAAGGTACCGACATCTAAAAGGTTTTGCCACAAGGTTTCCAAAATGATCACAAATCCAACAACCTTTGCAGGAAACACACCCACTGCCTCACTCCCCCACCTACTGATCCCCCCCACACACACCCACTGCCCCACTCCCCCACCCACTGATCCCCCCACACCCACTGCCCCACTCCCCCACCCACTGATCCCCCCCACACCCACTGCCCCACTCCCCCACCTACTGATCCCCCCCACACACACTGCCCCACTCCCCCACCCACTGATCCCCCCCACACCCACTGCCCCACTCCCCCACTCACTGATCCCCCCACACCCACTGCCCCACTCCCCCACCTACTGATCCCCCCACACACACTACCCCACTCCCCCACCTACTGATCCCCCCCACACACACTGCCCCACTCCCCCACCCACTGATCCCCCCACACACACTGCCCCACTCCCCCACCTACTGATCCCCCCACACCCACTGCCCCTCTCCCCCACACACACACACTGCCCTCCCCCTCCACCCCACACACTGCCCCTCTCCCCCCCACACACACACTGTCTCCCCCCCACACACACACTGCCCCCCCCCCCACACACTGCCCCTCTCCCCCCCACACACTGCCCCTCTCCCCCCCCCCACACACACTGCCCCTCTCCCCCCCACACACACACTGCCCCTCTCCCCCCACACACACTGCCCCACTCCCCCACCTACTGATCCCCCCACACCCACTGCCCCTCTCCCCCCACACACACACACACTGCCCCTCTCCCCCCCACCCCACACACTGCCCCTCTCCCCCCACACACACACTGCCCCTCTCCCCCCCACACACACACTGCCCCCCACACACACACTGCCCCCCCCCCACACACTGCCCCTCTCCCCCCCCACACACCCCTGCCCCCTCTCCCCCCACACACACTGCCCCTCTCCCCCCACACACACACTGCCCCTCTCCCCCACACACACTGCCCCTCTCTCCCCCCCACACACACACTGCCCCTCTCCCCCCCCACACACTGCCCCTCTCCCCCCTCACACACACACTGCCCCTCTCCCCCCCACCCCACACACACTGCCCCTCTCCCCCCACACACACTGCCCCTCTCCCCCCCCCCCCACACACACACTGCCCCTCTCCCCCCCCCACCCCACACACTGCCCCCCACCCCCACCCCCACTGCCCCTCTCCCCCCCACACACACACACTGCCCCTCTCCCCCCCCCCCACCCCACACACTGCCCCCCCCCCCACCCCCACTGCCCCTCTCCCCCCCCACACACACACTGCCCCTCTCCCCCCCCCACCCCACACACTGCCCCTCTCCCCCCCACACACACACAGACACACCACCATAGGCAAAAAGCTCAGCGCTACAGCAAACAGCAGCAAGAAATGGGAGAGTCACAAATTCAACATAACATTGTTGGTGTCGCCCACAGCTGTTTGCGAAGCTGATGTGGGGGAGTTGGGGAGAAGGGACTGGGAGTCAAACTCACTGAGGCTGAGCTGTGTCTTACCTACTGCTGCTCCTCCTTCATCTCCCCCTCCTGCGTCTGCGTCTCTCTCTGAACCTGTGTGTGTGTTTCTCTCTTAATGTGTTTTGTGTGTCTGTGAAAAATGGGTATCTATCTCTGTGACTGTGTGTGTATCTTTCTCTGTGTGAATGAGGTTCCCTCTGCCTGTGAGAGTGCTTGTGTCCCTCTCCCTCGTGAAACGAGTGTGTCTCTCTCTCTCCCTCTGTTTGTTTCTCTGTGGGAATGTACCTGTACTTGTTTCTCTGCCTCTCTCAGTGAGAATGTGTGTGTGTGTGTCTGTTTCTCAGTGAGAAAGTGTGTGCCTCTGTTTCTCAGTGAGAATGTGTGTGTGTGTTTGTTTCTCTGCCTCTCTCAGTGAGAAAGTGTATACGTGTGTGTCTCTCTCCGTTTCTCAGTGAGAATGAATGTTTCTCAGTGAGAATGTGTGTGTGTGTGTTTGTTTCTCTGCCTCTCTCAGTGAGAAAGTGTATACGTGTGTCTCTCTCTCCGTTTCTCAGTGAGAATGAATGTTTCTCAGTGAGAATGTGTGTGTGTGTTTGTTTCTCTGCCTCTCTCAGTGAGAAAGTGTATACGTGTGTGTCTCTCTCCGTTTCTCAGTGAGAATGAATGTTTCTCAGTGAGAATGTGTGTGTGTGTTTGTTTCTCTAACTCTCTCAGGGAGAAAGTGTATACGTGTGTCTCTCTCTCCGTTTCTCAGTGAGAATGTGTGTGGGTGTCTCTTTATCTCTCCTCTGATGCCAATAACCCTACACTCG